GAATGGGAGAAACTAAAATATAGAAATTTCACCACTGTATATAAATAAATGTACTACAATCAACTCATAACAGATAGCTTGCCGTCAAATCATGAGTTAAACTTCAACTCTATAATGCAGGAGAAACGGGAAAGTATAATTTCCGATGTTTTATTATAACCTACTACACATTTTTTCTCATACAAACGTAATTCCTTTTTATATTTATATCTTACTCGTTCTTATTTCTGTTCTGCCTTATGAGATTACATACATTAGAAAATCAGAAGATTATATATTTTAGTTCTACATTACTCTATTCTTACATTCAATATAATACCAAAAAAATCCGTAAAATCAAATAAGAAAACCGTTTCACAGAATTGTTAGTACTTATAGCTGATGTGACAGTTACTCAAAGCTCACTCACTTTTAAACGAGACGTAATTAAAATTCGCATGATAATATGTAAATAATTCGGTCGGCCTAACACGAAAATTCGTATTCCAAGTTATGAAAACCTTTATTCGTTTGATAAGGGACGCCCATTCTGAAAACAGGAGGCTTTATTTTTATTTTATCATGCTTGTCAGTGATAATTTCAGAGTGAATTTTATTTATTATGATTAGATATCTTGCATCTCTGTTCGTAAGGAAGTTCTTCCTATCTTCAAAAGTGGACAGTGAATGGAATAAATGATAAAGGTGAGTTACCTGTTGTTGTCATTGTAAAGTCATGATGTTTCTTAAGTTAAATAAGTAGAACATGAAAATGTACCTATAATATCTATAATACTGTCATAAATGTATCTCACTGAGGGTTCGCAAACAATCAACATTTGAAATGCTTAAAGGATTAGAATTGTTGATAGTTGAGAATGATAGTTCTACAGCAGAAAATAAGTTCATATTTACTTACTATTAAAACATTGCATATATATTTATATATAATGGCCGTGTGGTCTTGGCATAGAATAAGCCACCCATGAGTGGCGTAAGAGGCGACTAAGGGAGGACGAGGGATGGGCAGCAGCGTCCCTCTTAAAACTTCTTCAAAACCTAACTGCGGTTGACAATCCGCCTACCAAGCGTGGCAACTACTGGCAAAACCCCCCCAAGGGGGCTTATGTTCAGCAGTGGACAGTTAAAGGCTGATATGATGATGATATATGTAATAGACATACATATAATCTTACTCCACATAATATTATAATACGATTTTTTTAAAACGCCCTACAAGATTCAAAAAGACCTACCCCATAAATTGCACGAATACATTTCTTTTTTATATTATAAAAGAACAATTTATTGAAACGGAATTTCCACATATTAGGCCATATCTCAGAATGGAGGAAACAAGTCTATGGTATGCCACAAGAGCAGTTTTTTGATGACTGATTTTTTCTAAGACGATGTAAAGCAGATATGAATATATTCATTTTTTTTAAGATAATGTCAATATGTGGCTTTCTCATTAACGTAAACCGTTAAAATGCTAAGAGGTGACAAATAAACAAACAAACGCACATTCTCATTTACAATATTGGTAAGGATTTGTAATGTATATAATATGAAATCATACACATACATTACAATAGGAGATCTCTTGCATCTTACCCGCAAATTGTACAGTAACAAAAGCGTAAAAACGTCGTAAACTTCAGTCGGTGTAGTTTATGGCACTATGCTGCTAACTATAAAGTTTTGTGCCATAAAATCGTTTCAATTAAGTAAATTGTCCATTACATACCTAGTTAGATTCTACATACATAATTTCATCCAAATCTATACATAAAATCGTAACTATTTAGATTTTAGGTGATGTCTCTAATAAAAACAGTAGAAACCAATACAATAACTTATAGAATTTTTCTGTCTCTGTTTGTTCTATTACGTATTGCATTGCGTAAAAACTACTGCACCGAATTGGACATTCTGTTTTTATTCGTATATTCCAACTACAAAAGATTCTTCGATGGCAAAAGCTAATATTGCCTATCTGAAATTATGTAAAGATCTTTGATCGTCTGTTACTCAATCACACAAAATGTTTTCATTTTATTTTTATTTAAATAACTATAGTGACTAAACTAGTGTACAAAAGGCTAGAAGCATTCTCTACCTTAACCTTTAACGAACAGTGAATCACGAGCGCGATACTTCATTATTGGGAGAAGTAAAGAAAATAACAAATAATAATGTATACCTATACACAATAAATAATATATATATACAATAACACAAAATGATAATTATAATATACATAAATAAATATAAAGGAATATATATATATATATATATATAAAATGTAAATAATTTATAAACTATAAAAGATGATGACTATCTGTTATTATTGTAATGAGTTCATAAGGTGAGCATGGGCTTTTGAACATGAATTTATTTGGGAACTGTCGGATACCTTAGGTCATTGCATTCCAGAGACGTGAAGCTTGGATGGTGAAAGAGTTTGATAAAGCCAGATTGTGAAGTGGTGTAAGAAGAAAGAATAAAGATTCAGATTATGAGTTTCGGAACCGGAGAATGGTAATGGATTAGGAGTTTCGGAGAGTTTGGTAACCGCAGTTAAGCTTATGGAGATTTTTTAAGAGGGAAACTGCTGCCCATCCCTCTACCGTTAAGATCCCTTAGTCGCCTCTTACGACGCCCACGGAAAAGGAAAGGGTGACCTATTCTATGCCGGGACCACACGGGATTTCTGTCACACGTCAATTACTAGCTGTATATTTAATTGTTGAACATTTATAAATGCTTAGCTCACTTTTTGGTCTTAGGTAAAAGAGTAAAATTCAAAATGAAAGTAAAATAAAATATGTAATTAAGTAAGTAGCTAATATAATAATCTCGCGCCATAACTAATGCATCCGACACGGGAGAGCGGAATGAGAGATGCTTTCATAAAATATTAGCTTTCTGTGAAGGTAATATCACTAATGGGAGCTCGGGACGCACAAGGTTCTAATTACCTCGAGTGTCCTACGTGCGCAATGTTATTAATATACTTTTTTTTACCCCCTATTGTTATCTAGACCAATGACAATGGAGCCTTATGTCCGCCCGAGAAAATATAAGTCATCCGAGATAGTAAAAGGGAAGATGACAGAGCGAAATTACACGGTTCACTTCAGCCTTTCAAATTGAATGGGGCAAACCACGTTGAATAATGTAAACAAACATATTGGAAATATCATTCAATGTCATTCAAAGGTATTATTTTTTCAGTTCTGCGCTTTTTAAAGTGAATCAATATTGGTTTTTAAACATAATCATTTTATATAATATTTGTGTATTAAATAGTTATAATTACATAACCGGAATTTATTAAACTATGTTTCTAGTTTTTTGACTAGTATTACGACTGCGCGGCGACGTAAAGCATGGGCGACGGATCACCAGCAACGGCCTCGTTGTGTAAAAGACCACACTCCGCGCGGATTGCCGTTCTCTTTTTAAACAAAGAATCACACATTTTTTAATAACGTTTGCACCATCAAGAGCTTCTAAAAATGTCTTCATCATCATCATCATCATCATCATTTCAGTCGTTAACTGTGCTGAACATAAGCCTTCCCTATAAGAGGAGTTTTGCCGGACGTTGCAAAATGTGTCTTGCCCACATTTAATATGCCAGTTCCACTTATTCCTACCAACTTTCCTCACTAGGGGGCAATTGCCCCGCCACTCTTTCTCCTTCATCCGAAATTCTTCTTCACGGTGAGTATGAAGCTAACGTCAAAATTGGACAGTGTTTAGCAAACATTTGTATTGAGATACTACGTCTATAGTTCTATAATCAAGTAATTATTGTCGATTAGACCATGTACTCCTAAATTTATATAAGTGAACGACTTTATATATTTATCTTCGCGCTAAGTCCCTTACGGGGTAGGTATTTAAAACCGAGTGTCAACGGCCTCTATCTTTACGTACATCTCTTACTTCCTTTTCTTTCATAACTTGATGTGTTTCTACCATGAAGCAGTTATGTTTGCATGACTGCTTCACGGTATATTCACATATATATATATATGTGTATCTGGTATGTAATATTATATTAAACACTGGCGTTTTGCTCGTTATTTCATACGCGTGGCTTTCAGAAGTAGGAAAACCAATTAAATATACCACTTCTAAATGGCGTATTAAAATAATACAGATATCAGATTTTAATTTAGACCTTCAGGGGTACATCTATGAAAACTGCATTAAATTTGGTGCAGTGGTTTTTACATGTTCCATAAACAAATATACAGATAAATAGGCAAAATATCTAAAATTATTGTTTCGGCATCTATTATATTGTTGGAACTTCTAATTTTTTTTTATAATTTCCCACGTACAAACATCGTGTAATTAATTTTAAACTTTCGCGTTGTTTACATCTATTTTAAATACACAATCGGGTTTTGACGCGATGTAAAAGCTTTTGCAGGTAAATAGTACTTACATACCTGCTACTTTATTGCCGACGTTTCGACGTCAATTGTGTAGATACTGTTTACCTGTAAAAGCTTTTACATCGCGTTAAGTCCCGATTGTGTATTTAAAAAAGACATGTTTATTATATAAACAAAATTTGATTTTTATTAGATCCAGAGGGAGACTTTGTACAAAAGTCGTTTGCTTGGGTACCTATGTCCCATTCGTGTTTCAAGCGTGAAGCAGTTGTGTTTGCATGGCTGTGTTTCGGTTTCAAGGGTGGGATATGGCGTGAATTTACAGGGTACAGAGGAATAACACCTGAGTCCTCAGAAATGGCAATGCATGAGTATCATGGGCGAAACAGTATACTCTGTTATGTCCATGGTACTAGCCATGTCTATAGGCGACGGTTACCACTTTCCATCAGGTGGGCCGTCAGCTTGTTTGCCATTCTAAGTAGTATAAAAAAAATATGAACTACAATTAATATAATAAAATACATATTCAATATGAAAAAAATAATTTATTAATTATAATTGATAAAAGTATAAAAGTTATTATTTTATAATGTGATAACTTATGAATTGTACATAATTATTACTTATAACCTTTTTATACTTGTTGAAACAAATGTAGGAGGTACATATGTAGTGGGTTTCAATTATAAAATATTGGGGACTAAAAATTTTATATTTATATTATACAAATAATAACATTTTTATACATTATTATAAAGCGTGCCTAGTTTGTATAATTCCTAGTTCGATGTTTAAATATTGCTCAAATATCTTTAAAAAAAATATCATAAGAAGCATCAAAGTTTAGTGTCAATCTAAAAAGGATAAAAGGTACATTTGAATAAACCAATTACTGCTAATTTTCCGTATGCTCTTCGCATATGGAAAATTAGCATTAATTGGTCAATTAAAGCTAAAAACAAAATATCATTAAAGATGAACTTTTTTAAGTTGCTTCAAGAAAAATAAAAATATAAAAGACTAGCGACCCGCCCCAGCTTCGCGTGGGTTTTTTTTTAATAAAATCGGACACGTATTTCCCGCTAATATACGTACTATTTGTATAAGTAAAATGAATAAATATGAATTATATTTAAAGAGAAAAGTATAAACACTAATCGAATACGGAAATTTACATTCTAGGCACATAACAAATTAAGCTAACCCTCCATTGTTCGTTTTATAATGACTATCACAATGTTTAGGCCATAAAATACTATAAAACTATAAATAATTACAATAAAACAGCATACCAAAACAGTTCGCAGGCTATCACAATCAGTTGCTGCAAATCACACGAACATACAAATTAGTAATCACAGATCCATACTTTTCCGATGATTATAAACATTTCGACAAACGAAATTACAATTGTACCTAGATCATGCAAAAAAAATCCAAACTATTTCACTAATATTATAAATATTAAAAAATGTGAATATATTTGGACATTTGGATATTCAATTTCACGTAAACAGTTGCACGTATTATATTGTCATGCCCCTCTATTCGAAAAAACAAACTAATCTACCGGCAGATACGTTTGAATTAGCGTATGCGTGAGAAACAAAAGGCCAGATATGGTTGTCTCGGTCTATCTTATGAATGCGGAAGCGATAACGTATCTATCGTTAGATTCTTTCAGCACTAGTTACGGAAGATTTCTATTTTAGTAATATGGAAGCCAACGAACATACACCAGCGGCACTACGATGGTGTTTATGAAATTTTTTATGCAACTTAGAATGGCAAATAAGCTGACGGCCCACCTGATGAAAAAGTGGTAACCGTCGCCGAACATGCCATGCGTTATTTATACGGATATTCAAAAATCTGATTCAGAATAAATACCACTGTACCATGCACTGGTATGGGTAACATGTAACCATTCTACAAATTTTGTACTAATGTAAATATTTATACATCTTAAAACCATATAATCGCGGTGTTCCGACGATACATACTATCTGCTTTTTGTAAATGTTTGAAACATTGCTAATAATAAATTGATTTTGTGACACGTTTCATCAGACAGATTTCATTTCAAATTGTACACACTCCAAACCGATGGAACTTTGTCATATTGAGTGTTATATTCGACAAATACTTCTAACTACCCATCTGGCATTATAATACAATTGAATTAATTATCTTTCTTTACAAAATGTAGAAAAAAATTACTCCTTAGAATCCAATGAAATTTGTGAGATGGTGCGTGCAGTTGATTTATAAAAAACCTGGGGCTACCATGAAATGAAATTCCGAATTTTTTGACTCAATTTCGTGTTTTATTCATAGCGAAATCGACCTAATAACGGAGCTTAATATTTCGTTCGTATTTTAACATTTTTAATATATTTTAAACGGTATGTATTATGTTCGGCCTCAAAATTTCGGAAAACAATTCATGGTAGACCCTCCGAATTATAAGTGAGAAATGATACAATCGATTCTACTTGATTATACTATTTTAAATAGGCTTTAATTAATTACTGTATTGTTATCTATAGCTGACGCCGTATCGAGCGGCGACCTGCGGTGTATGAGTGGTGGCCACAGCCAGTAACAGAGGGACGTCGTTCACATCTATATTCAATGATTTCGTGAGCGTAGCAATGTCACAAAAGTCAGTTGACATCAGCATGTCGGCTAGGGTTTTCGACAGAACGCAGAACTCTCGTAGCTTCCCCTCCAAGAATGTTAGACACTGAAACAAATATATAATGGTAAAAATAAATAAATAAATATTATCTGTACTTATTGGATTATTTTAATGGAAAGAGCAAATAGACTGGCGGATAGTTATATGGTGAGTATTGCTGATAGATGTAAAAAACAGAATTCATTATGGTTCCTGTGGGTCCCGTTATTCGGGTTATTTTAAAAAACAACGGTATTGTCTTTAAGTAAATTTACTACTATATCGCATCCTCTAAATTTAAATAGCTATACACGCGTAACTGATAGACAGTAGCATTACTACTTGATTTAGACATAGCCAGACAACTATTTATATATTTATTTAAGGAACACCAACAGCATATTGCATTATAACATATAGGTATAACAAACATGAAATATAATACAATATTAATGCACATACCTATTATAGGTATTCACAGCATTTACTTTAACATAGTTATACAGTGCGAGAAAATGAAGTAACAATTATAATGAATTAAATAACACTAGAATACAAATATTTTAAAAGTTGCGTTATTAATTATAAAAATAAACATGTAACCTAAGTTGTGAGCAATATCAGAAAATACGATTATAAGTGAATTCAATTAAAAAATATTAAATATATATATATATATATATATTTATTTATTAGATTATTGTACAAAGTGTTTCAGCGATTTATTCCTGTAGGAATTTGAATTATCATGCACTATATTAATTTCAGGTAATTTGGCATTAATTTCATTGTATGACGCACTAATCGTGGCCAGAGGCTGTTATAATATAGAGATAACTTAATGTCTTTTTCCAATAGAACACATCGATTTATTTTTTTAATTTAAGACTTTCTTGTCAATGCAAATAATTCATGTATTCTCCAACCAGCTCTATTCCAGGCCATGTCTTTGACATATCTCAAAATAAATTTCTTTAATAATAAAGAAGCCGGCTGATCAATTAGCGAATAGTCCAAAGGGACGAGACTCATTTAAAGTAATTATTTTATGGTGATGAAGATGATACCTGATGCGCGGGCACCCTGGCGCGGTGCATGGCAGGCAACGCATCCAACATGGCGCCCACTAGCGACGACATGCCGCCCGTGCCGCACTCCCGTCCCACGACGCGGACTTCCCTGTAATAGCACGAATATGTTAAAGGCTTCTATAGTATGATAAAAAAATACGTTACGATGACATATAAAAAAAAACGTTCTATGATTGTTCATGGATCCAGACAATGTTCTCTAAACATAGAAAAATATTTTTTTATGTATTATGTAGCCAATAAGCATAAAGCCCATCTGATGGTAAACGATCACTGTAGCCTATGGACGCCTGCAACACTAGAAGTGTCCGTGCGACTCTAAGGAAATCTTAATATACCCTTTTTTAAGATCCTCATACTGTAGTCTCTAGGGAAAACCTCAGCAAAGAGCTCATTCCACAGTCTGAGCGTTCGCGAAAAAATTCCTTTATAACCGCACTGTACGTGCCATTTAGATTCAAGATTCGATTCGCGTGAGGATAAATTCCGTGTCAATGACGAGCAGTGCGATAACAAAAAGTTTTTTTGATGGGTGAAAATGGAATAGTAACTGCGCTAACGGGATCCGCTGGCGGAGCACCAGTGAAGGGTGATAGATGAGAATGAAAACAGGCCAGTTAGCCCATCATGATGAATTCATCAGGAATTAACCATGATAGTTTCCAGGGGGAACTGCGAGGAGGTCGACCTGGTTGAGTATATTGCTAGCAATGGGATTCTCAGTCTCCATTACTAACAATCCCTTTTCCCCCAGATAACAAAAAGTGGTTGTGGGCATCATTTCAAACAATTCCTCAGAACACAATATAGTTTTCACATAATTTTCTTAGTATACTGGCACAACTAACATTCAAAATTGAACAATTGTAACACAAACTTAATGTTCTACCATATATGCCATGAAGGTAATTTTTATTGACATTGGTCAGAATTGTGTGCTACATGAACATCGCTAATCAATTATCAAACATGTTCCTTATTATTTGGAAATAAATATTCATGCCTCATGTAATTTATTAAAATTAATCGTCAATATTTTATAATTCCTTTAAAGTTTAAACAATAATTTTGGTAATACACAAAAAATAGATTGCAGCCAGAAACAAACTAGTTTCACCATGAGTTTATCATATTGCCATTTTTGAACATGTATGTGATGCGACTTCACATGACATAAACAAACAAAACATTACTGAAAACATTCGTGGTGCCAGTAAATTTATAATAAAATAATATGATCAATATTTCTTGCTTACCATTTACTAATATCTCCTATAATAGCAACAGTTTGAAGCGGTGACTCTTTAATTTTGTTCAGGTACGCGGTCAGATCCAAATCTCGCCGTAACTCTGTCTCCCACGTGTTTGATTTTGTGATTGTTCCTAAAATATGAATATATTGAATATAAATAATAAATACCTATTAATACAACAGCAAAAAAATATTTCATCGTAATCATCTCAGCCATTATCTGTCCACTGCTAAACCTAGGCTTCTGCTATAGACTCCCATAAAGAACGGTCCCGAGCCACCTGCATCCACTGACTCCCTGCAATGTATTTGAAGTCATCATTCCATCTTGTGAGAAGGGTCATTATAATTATAACTATGCAAAATTTTGATTATTACCTTTAATCTTTAGTGCTTTTGAATTGATCCTAAAAATACTTTAATTAATAGACATTACTCCAACTGAAAGCTATACTTCTCAAAGAAATTAAAAAAATTATTAACCAGAATAAGAATCCTATATCCTTTTTCATTCCAAATAAGTGTGTGTACCAAATATCAAGTGGTTAAATCATTAAGCTGTCAAAATCAATTTGTCTGTATAACAGACAAATTTATTTTCGCATTTATAATATTAGGATTCCACATTTAAATTCTAATAATTATTGAATAAATTAATATTACCTTGTAAAATTAAATCAGGTACATAATGGTCTGTGACTCCACCAAGTAGAGAAGCGTCGAACCCTGCCCTCGATCGGTCCGGCTGCGATCGTAACCGCACTGACGGCAATGGGAACTCTATAACCCGTTTCACTTCTGACACTTTATCTTTCTCTTTCACTCTGGTTATCTTCTTTACTTCTTGTTTTTCTTCACATACGTTTTTCGTGTCTACCGGGTTCACCACTAGCGTGTTTTCTACCCGTTTTCTAACATAATTCACTGGCGGCACCTCACTCCGCGTATCAACGTCATTTACTACCGTCTCTTTAGCGAACTGCGGCTCCGACTGTCGTGGGATATCGTTCATGTACTCCATTTCAGACGCGTTAGTCGGCGTCTGTAGCATCGACTCCATTAACTGACATTTGTAACAAGTCTCACATCTTTCCTCTTGAATCGGAGGTACTATTGTTGGGTCAAACTGGAAATTGTCCAACTTCAAATTCCCCGGTTTGCCGATATAGTGTCTATCTAATATCTCTAAATTTTTGCTCTTCATATAATTAGTGACTATTTGAGGGTACTTATCGAACTCGAATTTAAAACCGGAATGTTTAATTGGTTTGGAATTTTGGAACGTTTGCCCGCAGCACTTCGATGGGCTCTCCGTATCCTTTTCATATTTAGAACTATCTTTGGCATTAACTTCCTCTTTTTCGTCAATTTCCAAATTGATTGGTTCATTATGTACTTTTGACGACTTCTTAACGCTCTTCCCATCACTCGATTTATTCTTAAGCCCCACTAGCTGTTCATCTTCGCCCAATACAAAAACTACTTTCTCATCTACTTCAGGTTCCTCTGGATTAGAAGAATTTAGACTAGAATCCGAGGAGGCCCGCAGCGACATTAGCATCGTAGGGTTCCTTCGTAACACACCTGATGTCGTTTTCACACTTGTTGAACTACAGTCTTCTGCAGCAAAGTCTAAACTAGTAGAGAGCTTTTGACCAATGTTGGCTAGAGTGGACGACCGCTTGATACTGGTCTGACTAGCCACTAGAGTACTGACACTACTATCACTATTCTGAGTATTCACCGACGGCACTTTCAGACTGTCTTTGGAAACATTCTCTCCAAGTTTGTCAACTTGACTGGTATCCTTTGTTGAATCTAAACTTTCAGCATTTACACTAACAACTTTGCATTCGTCCAGCACGCAACTATCAAACTGGAATTCATTTCTTTTAACATCACCACAACGCACGAAGTAAGTTAATACTATTAACAGCCTTTTTACAAATTGAGAGTTGGTGGTGCCACTTATAATAGTTCTAGCTGCCCGTGGCGGGAAACCTATACTGCCACAAAGATCGTTTAGCTGAGCCCATAAGGCGTTGTAACATCTTCGGGGTTCAGATGACCGTGACAATTGCGTTTGTAGGTCGACTGTATCGTAAGGACTGACGGTGGTGACCCAGCCGAGATGGTATGTCAGAACATGGGTCAATAATGTGCTGATGAAACTGAAACAAATAAAATAACAATTAAAAAAAAAGAAAATTTCTTATCCTTATGTGTAATATTTTAATATTAAAAGTTCGCATTATTTTTTTTATACCACTGAGGTGACAAAGAGACATACAACCCATCAGATGATAAGCAGTTACCGCAGCCTACAAACGCCTACAATATCAGGGATATTACGCGCGCGTTGTCAACCTTGAAGAAACCAAACCTCTTTTTCGAAAAACCCCATGCTGTAGCCTCTAGGAAAAACCTCGACAGGAAGCTCATTCCATAACCAGAGTGTTCGTGGAAGACAACATTTCTAAAACCCCGTAGTACGGGACTAACTAGGCTCTAAGATATGAGGGTTCAAGGGTTAATATACACATTAATTTTCCATAAATAGTCAGAGTTTAAACCAGATTTCATATTAAACTATGCTTTTAAAGCAAATTATATCTTCTGCTTTTAGTTCATTTCACGTTGATGTCTGAATCAATAATCTGATGGGTTATATAGCAGTTATTACCGGCAATATTTGGGTAATTTATAGTGCTTAAAGCCTATTTTCATCATCGATTTAATATCACAAACATTACTGATAATTACATGTCTGTGGCTTCAGTACCTTTATTATCAAGAGAAATAATTTTTACATACATAAAAATTGTATAAAGATTGACCGTGACAGAGTAATTTTTTTTAAATTCTTTATGATACTGTTATTGTCAAGTGCGATAATTTATTCAGAGTTTATTATTTTTAGTTTTGGTTGTAATGTTTTATGTGTTTTTCATTAAGCGTGTTGAGTCTCCCATCCGGGAAATAGGTTTTGTCGACCCGCACACATGCTAAAGGTAAAGGAGTTAAGGGGAGTTAACCGCCTGAAAATTTAGCGCATTATAGGTAGGTATATCTCGCTAGAGCTGTGCATAATATAGCAACAGCTGAGGCGGCTCCTATTACCATCAAAATTGTTTTTTTTTCTTTTTATTGTTGATTTTTTGTAATATTATTACTGGAATAAAGATTATCTATCTATCTATCTCTAATCAATCAAATATAGTTGTATTTTTATGTATGTATGTATTTATTTCACATCATATGTTTATGTTACTAAACTTATGATGTCAAGTAAATTAAATTTATTAAATAAATTTATTTCATAAAAAAATAATTCAGCTTAGGAAGAACACAGAATTTCTTGAAATCTTTAAAGACACCTTTTCAATATTGCTAAAATTAATTTATATACATTTAATCCCTACTAATATTATAAATTTGAAAGGGAGTTTGTTTGTCACTTTATAGCGCCTTAAACAGCTTATGCAATTTAATAGCGTAATACTATATGGATTAAAAAGGATATAGGCTATTTTTTATCCCGGTCAGTAAACAAATCCTGGTCACGCGTACGAAGTCGCAGGTGAAGACTAGTCTTCAATACATCGAAGACATGTTAAGAATCTTGACTAAATAAATATGTTTCCTATAATAAAGCCCCCATTGGATTAAACACAGTTTTGTGAGTGGCCGCCAAAATGGCGAACGACAGGTATGCCAAGTTCCTACATCCATCGGATTTTTATTATTAGCTGGATAATCCATCCACGCGGTTTATTTACGTAATCACTTCCAGTTATTTGTTAACGTTGTTAACGTCAGTCCATTCAAAAATACAAATCACGTGAGCATGTAAATATTGCAAATGAAAATAGTTTGCCAAAAAGTATACATCTATGTACCACGATAATTCGTGCGATATTTGTTCAACGCTCCGAGCGGAACATCTAATGCTGTTTTACGCGAAAAATGACAAAATTAACAAACACTTGGTACGAGTCCTATAAAAATAACTTGGGTCAGTCAGTGGGGGGAATAGATAATTTTCATTCAACACGTCTTTCATAATTAACAAGTTCCGAAAGAGCCAAAATGTTAAACATGTTTTTATATAACTAAGTCATTAATCGCCAAAGCGTTGGATATAATCCAGAAAAAGAGAGTGAACAGAAATAATCTTTGTTACGTTGCTGTTTGTAAAATCGTGATTAATTATTTGTTACGTACCTAGTTTAAGGGGAAGAAGAGTTTTTTTTATATACTACTATAGTGACAAACAAGCATAGGGCCCGTCTGATAGTAAATAGGGTTACCGTAGCCTATAATCGCATCTAACACCAAGTATGTCACGCGCGCGGTGCCGATCCTTAAGAAACCATAAAATGACCATAAAACCCCATGCCAGAGGTCTCTAGGGAAACCTCTGTAGGAAGATCATTCCATAACCTGAGTGTTCGCGGGAGGAAGCTCCTCTGAAACCGCACTTTGCGTGACCATTCTAGTTCTAAGGTGTGAGGAAGGTATCCCTGATGATGGCGAGCGATATGATAGTGAAAGGTGGCTGTAGGCATCATATTGAAGAGTTCTTCAGAACACAATCCGTTATACAGGCGACAGAAGATGCAAAGTAAAGCAGTCTTGCCTTAAATTAAGGGTGTCGATACTAGTCGATAGAGTGCACCAATGTAAAACATTTATACAATAGTAAGTATTGTATTAAGTATGAAACAATTGCATTAAAAAATACCAGCAATCCGCCTCTGCTTCGCACGGGTAGGTTGTAAATAATATACCTATAGTATATATTACTCTCTGATACTATAGCTTATTACAGGTGAGAAAATTTTTGAAATCGGTTAAGTAATTTTTCCCTGTATTCATTACAAACTAACACACGTAGAAAATATCAAATTTTCTCTTTATATTAGTACAAGTAATAAAAAGAACAGTCTCTAATCGATGTTTACAATATTAGTAAATAATAGAGATACAATATTAAAGATTATATTATTAAAGAGCACAGGATTCTTCTTTATTGTAACCGAATAACAATATATAACCGCATTTTTCATGTCTAAGGTGTCGTAGGAGACGACTAAGGGAACAAAGCACCAGTACAAAAAAAAGTAAAACACGAACGAAAAACTTATTCGTACACCAAACTCCTAGCTTGAATAGAACACAAGTACTCAATGGTTATGGTAAAATAGATATTTATTAATTTATATGCATCTGGACATTCACTTATAGTAAAGAATATATATACTAGGTTATATAAAAAAAATGTACATATTAATGTATAGATATAATTCCACAAAAAAAAACATCGTCTTTAATTGTGCCAAAATACTAAAATGATTTTGATAAAATTTCTTATGAGACTAATCTGAAGAAATTTCTATATCCTTTCATATAAAAAAAGTACTTTCCAAATCAATTTATAACTGACGGGGTTCCAAAGTGACAAACATACAAAAAAAATATTGAACTGAATTAAGAACCTTCTACTTTTTTTAGTTCGGTTTAAAATAATACTACTTTCCCTTAAACTCATGTGACTGGCCGAGTTATCTAACTGACAATAAACTTTGTCACATGATTATCTCCACTCGCAACGAATATACGCGAGTGCGGAATACTTTATAGGCGCGTGTCACGTGCTAACCAGAACGGACTATTCACACATAATTTTATAATAATGGACATTCAGAATGGCCAAACATTTGGAGAGGACGGATGAAAGAAGAATTACGAAATAATTATAAATTATAAAGAATATATTAGTTTGTATTTTAGGTACGCATATCTATTATTTCTTATTAGAAACAACCATACTGTTTCTGTTTAATTAAAACTCTTTTTCACTTAGGACTTGAAGGAAGAGAACTCTTACAAAGTTAAGCTCGCCTGTTGATGTGTTGTGCATCTTTATTCAAAATAAATTCTAAATTGATGTATAATAAAGTATAAATAAATAAGTAAATTTACCGAACACGAATGAATGGAAATGTTTATAGGGGCCGCCCTAAACGAACGTGCAAATATATCGGCCAAGTAGGCGACGTGTATGGGGAGAAGGAATTATTAGTAATTTGGACTAGTAGCCCCATTGCTAGAAAAAAAAACCATGTCCGGTCGACCTCTTTGTGTTCTCCCCTGGAACCCATTATGCTTAATTCTAGGTGAATTCATCACTATGCGCTAAATGACCTGCCGTTTGACCCACACCTTTCATCTCTCATTGACGCCATGTTAGCGCAGGAAGTGCAATTTTCATTATCAGCAAATTAAAAAAAGCAACATGCTGAAAACGGGCCAAATTAAAAGTAGCCACCTATAACCGGCGACAGATTAACCTCTTTTGCTTCCTCTACATTTAGAGGAAGCGAAAAAGGTATGTTTGAATCTGAGCAATTGACGTTCCATTATTTTTGCCTGCCCTAATGATAGACAGGCGTGACAGATATTTTTTTTTATTTATTTAAACTTTAAATACACAGTGAAATTGTATGTACAGTTGGTGGAATTAGATATAATATTAATACATAAAATATAAAGATTTTAAACAGATTCGTGTTATTAGGCACGTAGACATTTGCAAAGAATCAGCGGTCACCTATAATTTACAGCGTGACTAATGAACTAAATGTATGTTTGTAATGCGTAGGTTTTTCAGTCCAATGACGAATTTTTTCTATGCAACTTGAAATAGTATACAAACTGGCAGTCCACCTGATGAAAAGAGGTGTCTATCTCTAGGCATGAAAAGCGCAATCACCATGGGACTCCATGGGCGTTATAGTGAATCTCTTAGAATACACTATAACGTATTATACCCTTCAACATAACTCTAAAGCCATTTTAAAATGCTCCTATTTCTAATTTATAACAACAAACAACTTTTGTACAAAGTCTCCCTCTGGTAGTTTTGCTCCATAAATACGGTAATACACCCACAACGACAGACTAGGGGAAAGGATAATTAAAAATGGGATAACAGCCTTATTATTAACAATACCCTATCAGACCGACCTCCACACGGTTTCTCCTAGAAACCATCATGGTTAATTCTTATAGAATTCTTCACGATAGGCCAACTAACCTGATTTCATTCTCACCTAGCTAAGCTATGAAGCTTACTAGTATCCTGCCGATATATACCGATAACACAGACGGGATTACAAATACGTCAAAAAGAATTATTTATTCGACATATAAAAAAGGTAAATTGAGGAATTTCCTTCTTTTTGAAGCCGTTTTTAAAAAACAGCAGCAATATTAGTTTCCCTTAATGTAACACTGACTTAACACACACAATAAACGGCCCTCCGGAAATAAAAGTTACTTTACAAGGAACTTTATATGTCTTTTTTCGTATTTTCTTTATTGTTTTGTGCCCGCGACATCGACCCAGTAGTAGAAGAAATTAATGTCTCTATCTTTATTTATTATTATTAAAAAAAAAAAACAAGCTCAACGTTTTGTTTAAATTTCGTACAATAGAGAGGTTAAATTGTATATCTGATAAAACAACGCAAGTTTTTAGTCATACTAATACGTACGTGATCATAAAATTCCATGAAATCATTATGATTTTCAAGTAACGCCGTAACTAAGAAACATACTAATTTACATTTCATTGCTTATTATTAGAGATGAAACGGATATCCGGTAACTATCCGGTATCCGGCCTATCCGGCGGCCTTAATACTATTCGGCCGAATACTGGATAACTACTATTCGGTCGGATAGGCATACCACAGAATTAAAAAAATTCTGAATTAAAAAAAATATATATTTGAAATATTTATTTGCTTTATTTAGTTAGTCTTAGTATCACTTATGAAATATAATTAGTTTTAATTTTAAAATTTTCTCACACAATAGTAAATGAATCTAAGAAAATGAATTAATTAGTACTCATACTGTACTAAGGGCAAATTATGATGAATAAATACTAATTTCTCTGCATTGAGAGGTAGCAAGCGGTTTCGCTTCTCATCATAAATAAAGCCAGCTTCAGAAAAAGTCTTTTGCTGTACACATTGCTGCAAGGTGCTGAAAGATTTTGACAAACTTTGTTAAATTTGGGTATTGATAGGCATTAGCTGCCCACCAAGAATAAGGGCCACGATTGCGATCAATTCGCACTGACATAGCCGGATATCCGGCGGCCGGATATTCGGCTATTCGGCCACATGGTTGGCCGAATATCCGGTATCCGGCCAAACTACTATCCGTTTCATCTCTACTTATATATTTTTATGCTCCTGAATAAAAAATCGCGAAATAATACAAAGTGTTCGACTCCTACAATTTTATTATAGCAAAGATATTGCGTATGGTTGTTGATTTATTACATTTATCATAGATCACTGCCAACACTATTTTTGTAATAGATCATACGATATAAGAATAGATTTCTGACACACCTATAACATAGTTTATTTTATATATTAGCTTATTTGTCAATGTTGCGATAAGTGCTAAGCATGTTATTTTTAGCCAAATAACGCGATTTTATACTTATTTTAGTATCACTTTATACGCAAATATAACTTTGTACTAAAACCTTTTTTTTTTTATCAATTGAAAATAGTAACCGAAATCAGTGTGTGATTATGTACTATGCTATTAGCATTCGGTTTTTTTTTATACAGCTTAGAATGACAAACAAGCTGACGACCCACCTGATGGAAAGTGGTAACCGTCGTCTATAGATATAAGCAGTACCATGGACATAATAGAGTATACTGTTTCGCCCATGATACCCCCATGCGTTGCCATTCTTGAGGACTTAGATGTTATTCCTCTGTACCCTGTAGATTCACGCCATATCCCACCCTATATATAGTATATATAAATAAATAAAAATAAGTATATACTTACAAATTAGTGTGTTTAGTATCAGCCATAGACAGCACCGAACAGAGATCAGACAATAGGGTATCGGCTGTCTTATTGGCGGTGCGCGAATCGCTCGTCACTAAACTCAGCCAGACGGGCTGTAGACGCGGCCCGTGCATTAGATCTGTTAACCTGAATAAGGAAAGTAATCAAATTTAAACTATACCTTAATACAATAGATTTAATTTTAAAATATATTTAATTTTAATATCAGAAACTAAAATGCATGCATGAATAAAGCAAAAGGTATCAATTATTACCTGACTAATAAAACAATAATCCCCTTAGAGAAGTACCAAACTAATCTAACATTAGACACATCATCGCTACCATATGTATGTATTAGGACCCCATTTTCCGCGCTTAACCTTTTATTTGGCTGTTTTGCGTAAAAAACGTACGTATGAAATGAAACAGCAACATTCGACAATTTGTTCTTTCGAACACGCGTACAAACGAAAACGTGTCTACCAGTAGAATCGACAAACACTTATTTGGGGGCGTTAGTATAAAGACGGAAATATATAATACTAGGTCATCCCTAGTAACTAAAATACATAGATATTGCTGGATATTTCCCATATAATATACAGCAAAATCTATATATTTTAGTTACAATATCTATATACCAATAACAAATATGTTAAAAGATTGTTATCCAAAAAATAATTTTTTTTTTTTTTTTTACAACACAGGGGGCAAACGAGCATGCGGCTCACCTGATGTGTAACGTTGATACCGCCGCCCATGATCACCCACAACACCTACGGCATTAGGTGTGCTGCCGGAATATTTAAAAAGGAATATGCTCTTTTATGAAGGTTATGTTGTCGTATCGGTTTGAAATAAAACATATGGAAGTTGAAAAAAAAAGTGGTTGTAAATGGGAGAAAGTGCCTTGAAAAACGCACGGTGGAGGACCGTACTTGTCCAGATGATTGGGATGAAATTTTATTATTATTTTTGTACGATGGTGAAAATCTGCAGCAGGTATCAATCGAACAATTCTTAAGAGCCTGCCCCATGATAAATTCGGTAGAAAATGCACAGAGATGCAACATCTCTACGAGTTCAGTGGGTCGAGCTAAGAGAGAGACAGAGAAGACGCCGATCGTCAACTCTTCGAGCTGCCCGACTTTGAATGCGATCTAACGGAAGGAGTTGGTACTGTGGCGCTCCTGCCCACAGGTGAGAACAGTATGTGTGCCTCACTTGAGCTTTATATAGTTTCCGTTTATCTGGCGTGAAATACCGTCTCACCCTATTGAGCAGCCCCAACTTTTTGGAAGCTATCTTAGCTTTTTCCTCCAGATGACCCAAAACTGGACGTCGCTAGATATATCGACGCCAAGAATCCCCAGACTCGACTTATTATCGAGGGAAGTGCCGGCGAAAGTAAGGAGATACGACAAAATGTCTTTTTTGCGGTGAACGCGCAGACTTGTGTCTTCTTAGGGTTAAAGTGAACAAGATTACCCCAGATGAAACTTTGTCGAGCGTTAAAGTTTCGATTTCAGACACAAGTCTGTTAAAAGCTCAATGTGCCCGCGAGATCTTATGTCATGACCAAAATATAATGCATCTCCAATGTATGTCGTCTGTGTGAATATACGATCTGTAACATATCATTGATATGACAGAAGAAATTTGTCGGAGATATAAAGCCCTTCAAATTATAAAACAGCATATAAATTTAAGTCATAACATGCTCCGTCGACTACGACCTTAATGCTACGTTCCTTAAAAAACTGGCGACCCAACTGCAAAATCTCGCAGGCAACCCAAACGAAGGTAGTTTTGAGATTAGTGCCCTATACCCGTCAACTTGTTCTTTCTGCAATATCCAGACTAACGAGCTAAGGCCTCTCCCTGGTGCCATTCTCGATTGCCACCGCCCATCGGTGTGTTAAATATAAATTTAATCACCAGCCGAGCGCCCCCGTCGAAATAATATGGCGATCTAAAACATATTATCCAAACTAGGTACCGGAGCAGTTGATGGTTAACAATTGATTCCATGACTTTCGAGAATAAGGAGGTGATAGCTATGGGCCTATAGTTAGCTGGATCTGAGCGGTCTCCTTTTTTAGGGATCGGATGCACCAAAGCAGTCTTCCAAAACTTTGGGTCTTCCAAAAATTAATACTGGAATATCCAAAGAATAACATATACATATCGGATCGGTATCTATATTACCCATGCCTAATACATAAGTATGTGTAACGTTTATTGCGACGACTTTGCAGGTGTAACGGATTAACACATTGCCTTACCTTACCTTAGAATATGTAAAAATATTTGTATTTATAAATAGTTTGTTTGTAATAGTCTGGGCATTTTGTATATTTAAAACATATACATATTAAAAAAAAAAAAACTACTTAAATATTAGTACAAGTTGTACTTAGTTTGGAACTACATTGTGTTACGTAATGTATAATATTAGGTAGAATTTATTATTATTTTGTAAAAACAGATACAAAAGTTCTTTTATTTCTGTCTAGTACTGTTATAATGGCCGTGCGGTCCCGGCATAGAACAGGCCACCCTTTCCTTTCTTATAGATGTCGTAAGAGGCAACTAAGAGAGAGCGAGAGATGGGCAGCAGCGTCCCTCTTAAAGCATCCCCAAAACCAAACCGCGGTTGCTAATCCACCTGCTTAACGTGGGAATTACTGGCAAACCCCCCAAGAGGGAGGCTTATGTTCAACAGTGACAGTTAAAGGTTGATATAATGACCGTTATATCGTGGGGGGTCTGTATTCCGATTTCTTCACTTACCACCTAGCAGCATCAATAGCAGCACGATGCAGTGTTGACACGAAGCCCCCACCAGAGCCTGCGTTCAGTGTTGCCAACCGTAGCCTGCACACTAGTGCTTGCAACTGCGGCGAGTGCTCGGCGCATCTACGAAGTAGATCCCTGCGAAAATATACCTTATATTAGCGGGATAAGATACGATTCCCTCAATCTCACTGTCTAACAATAGAAAATTATTAAATGGTATGAAAGACGTTTTACGACGACAGTTAAAGGCGTCGTATATTTCTTTAGCTTTTTAAAAGTCTTAACTTTTTATGAAAAGCACGTTAATGTCTATTGAGCCCAAAATAAATTATAAACTAATTCTGCAATTTATATGTTTTTCTAAGTGCTGTGTGATATACGATGTCGTATTTTTCTCGAGGTTAATAATGACAAAAATATTTTCATGTGACGATCCAAAAATAAAGCCCTTTAAATTATAAAACGAAAATATAAATTAATGAAAATATCGTATAACATGCACAGAAAACGTACAGTCGAATTTAGAACTTTATACTTTCTTGAAGTACTGCTAAAAATATACATGTCGAACTAACATCTCGGTAGCGTCTGTGACAGTAAACAGAAGTGCTAGTCCCAACTTGTTCTTCCTCTGCACCGTCGACGAACCGACGCTCGCGAGGCTGTCGCTGGTGCCACTCGCGGAACTACTGCTGTATATCTGTATTGAAATATCAATTTAATCATAAAGTTATAGATCAATTTTAGAATAATATAGATTAAAACATATTATACCAAACTAGGATAAGGGCAAGAAGAGGTTGATGATTGTTACTATACCATAACACCATACCAGAGGGAGACTTTGTACAAAAGTCGATTGGTTGGGTACCTCTGTCCCATTCGTGTTTCAACCGTGAATATTGTGTTTGCATGGCTGTGTTTATATATATATATATATATATATATATATATATATATATATATATACCTGAGTCCTCAGGAATGGCAACGCATGGGGGCTATCATGGGCGAAACAGTATACTCTGTTATGTCCATGGTACTGCTCATGTCTATAGGCGACGTTTACCACTTTCCATCAGGTGGGCCGTCAGCTTGTTTGCCATTCTAAGTTGTATAAAAAAAACCTGGCCAGCTAGACTGTAGATGTAGATAGTAAGGAGTCACGTGGCTCCCGTGAAATATTAATTAGTTCTCTATTTGCCTATTATGAAGAAATGGATGAGTATATACGTAATGTACGCATGTACGTAAACAGAAGAAAAGATGGGCTGCGTCATGAGTATTAATCTTTAGTGAATGGATTAAATCATAAAGATTACCTGTGAATCGCTGCTAGTCGCATGGCTGGTGGCGGTTGGTACATTCAGCAGGTTGGAGCTCTCCTGCCCGAGGTCGAATCTCGTCACCAGGTTCTGGAACGTCCGTCTTTGCCAGCTACCATTGCTTGATGTACTTAATTTACGGCCGGGTGGTGCTATAAAATGTACATCTCATTTTTTTTTAAAGAAGGATCCGTTTCTGTATTGTACAGAGTGAAATCGGAATCATTTGCATCCTTTTAAGGATCATCAGTCATACATCCAGGGAAGCTAAACATTTTCGCCAAAGTATCATGGTTCGAAAAATTACTATTAATTACAGGAGGTATTTCATATCCATACATCTAGCGTACCCTGAGCAATCACCCATCAGGGAGAAGAGACTGTAAGCAATGAGGATTAATAGCCCCTTTTAACTTAACAGGCAGGTTAACTTCGTTGTGGTTCCCCCTAGAAACCATCGTGCTTAATTTCTAGTAAATTCATCATGAGGAATTAACTGACCTGCCTTTTCATCCTCACCTATCATCTCTCACTGGTACCCCGCCAGCGTATACCATTAGCGCAGGCGAAGTTACTGTCCAATTTCCATCCATAAAAAAAAGCTTTGGACAATCAAGAAAACTCAAGCTGATTTGCTAATCCTTTCAACACGACGGCGTATTGTCTTACCATCAATTCGCTGAAAAGACCAATTTTATCCGTTTTTTTTTTTAGAAATGATGTTCAATTTCACTGATAAAACCTTTAAAAGAATACTAATGACTCGAAATCCGGTGGAATCAATTTCACCAAATATAAAAATAGGTACACTATGATTTCATAGTGTTCACCTCTAGGTACTTTTCTTCGCCTGCACATACTTTTATTATCATCTATTATGGCATAGATAGATAGATAGATACTCTTGGTTGTTTCCTCCATATGATTACAATAGTAAATTTATTATAAATACAAACAATTACAAGAAGATATTATATTACACTAAGAAAACAAATGGCGGAATTATCGCTAAGAGTGATCTCTTCCAGGCAACCTTTGGATGAAGAAGAGTGATTATAAACAGTTTGACTGGAAACACAAAACTGTTCGTTTTTTAAATTATGATATATGCATACATACAATAATGTCATACATATTATATATATATAAATATAAGCATGTTTGATGAAAACTAGCTGTAAGTAATTCTCATCAATATTGTTTTAAGGCACAAATAACGTTTTATTTAAAGGTTAACATGAAGAAAACCTTTAGCAATAAGACCTCTTATATTTTATACCAATTTAGTATCAACTATGAATTGATGCAATAAAGTGTTAAATAAAATAATTCAGATAATAAAGGCGGGAAAAACGTGACGTTAAAAATAGAATTACTGCTCTGTCATACAGCAATTCGATCTAATTGGCTACGGGCACGCGAAGGCTGATCTTCTTTTGGTTGGTTTGTACCAGCCAACAATAGGAATCAGCATTATTTAACAGAAGCGTTTGTGCAAATTAACGTGATGTGAAAACAGTCATTGCTTCGGTCTTTATTAGATGTGTGGTTTCAATTGAATAGATCTTACTTACTTTACTTAGGTTGCTTTCATTCAATGTTACTATGATTCAAATATCCTCTAGATTTGATGATGTTAACTGCAGGTTTTTTTAGAATGTTTAATTATGAAAGGATACAAAAGTTTGTTTGAAAAATAATGTTTCTACGTATGTCAATCTGGCAGCCACTTAATGGAAAGTTATGCCCACTATTTTTAACTATAGCAACACTATAAATTCAGCACCATAATAAACTCATACATTACGTCTAATATTAGGTTATGTAGAAATGCTTATGATAGAGTGGGGAAGGGGTTTTTTTTGAATGGATGATAATGAAATGGTAACCCCGCCTGCGCTATCGGTATACACTAGCGGGCCACCAGTGAGGGATGAAAAGATGAAGCAGGTCAGTTAGCCCATCGTGACAAATTCAACAATGAACCAATCACTAGTTTCCAGGGGGAACCGCGAGGAGGTCGATCTGATAGAGTATATTGTTAATAATAGGGTTGCTATTCCCCTTTACTAACAATCCCTTCCCCCCGAGTGGGGGGAGAAATACCTTGTCAGGTTGACCTCCATGTGGTACCCCTCGGAAATCATAGTGTTGAATTCCAGGTACATATATATTCATCACAAAGGGTTAACTGAATTTCATTTAACCTTTTCATCCTCACCTATCATCCCTCACTGGTGCCCCGCCAGTGTATACCGTTAGCGCAGGCGACGTTACCATTCCATTATAATCCATCAAAAATGCCTATAATAAAATTGAGTGCTGTTAAACCTTAGGAATAAATGTTGACTTTTCATCTCTACCCCATTGTAGTCAACTATAAAAAGGCATAATTTCCCTAATGGTAATAATATGAATTATGAACTATATAGGTAAACAATACTGTGCCCAATTACGTTATTTTTAACACAAAAATGCAAGGTCATTCACCTTGAAATTATGAACTATTGATAGCCTGACAATTTCATAGGCGGTACTCTTGCGAAGTGACAAACGTACAGCATGGAGCATATTATAGACGAACGTGAAGAAAGATGAGCACTTTTTTCTCCACTATATTATATCCATATCCTTACCACCAAGTACATTTCACCTCACCTTGTAGCACCGCGTACAAAGTTGCCAGGCTATAAAATAAAAATAACGTAACAAAATGGTTACACTTACAATAGAAGGTGTAGAATTCTTCTTGCGTGTTATTTCCGTCCCAGATATCAAACATAGAAACGTAGTCGTAGGTGGAGTCGACACTGCTACGTGGGGAGTGATCCCCATAAAAACCTGTGTTACATTATAATTTTAAAATAAGTCTTCGTCAAATGTATTGTGTTTATTTTCAACATTATTTATGTACAGCTATATTACGAACAGCGATAAAAAATGTTTTTTTTTTAACATTCTATCCAATATTTTATATTATTCCTTTGACATAATGTTAGTATGTTTATAAACATCTTTAATGCAGGGCGCAGAAAAAAAATATAATTTATCCTATTGCCAACGATCAACTTGTTTACTATGAAGTAGATAAGCGATAACCGCCGCCTATAGATATGAACATTTGAAGAAACCCATACTATAATCTCTAGGGAGAAACTCGTCAGGGAGCAGAATTCTAGGTGAATTGATCACAATGGGCCTTAATTAACCTGCTTTGTCATCTTCACCCCTCACTGGTTACCTTTAACACAAGCGGGGTGTCCATTCCATTATCACTTAATAAAAAAGTAACATGGACATCATAGAATACACTGTAACCCGTGATATGCGTTTCTATGGTGTTATAACTTCACATCCCACATAATATTACAGGCGTTCGAACCGAAATCCAGCCGACCAGAAATGCAAGCAGCAGAAACACGAGTGGGACAGAGTTATTCAACTGACGGAATGTATATATTCGTATATAAAAAAATCACCACAGACTTTCTCCCCCCCCCCCCTTCTCTGGTGATTAGTTTTTTTTTTTGTATACATAAAAGTAATATATTACAATAATTCTTTTTTAATTGTAGAATAAGTACCTGAATCCCCTCTATCGATGGAGAAACTCAACGACACGCCTTCTTCTTTGAGTAGCGGTACATTTAATGGCATCGAACTATTCCGTACTTTAGCTGTGCTGCTTTCAGTCTTTCTTTCTGTGCGGCTGATACGACGCGAGGTTGGTACACAGAACACCTTAGTGCACATAAGCCTAAATAAAAAAAAATAGTTAATTGAAGCTAATCACACAATAAAAAAATTTGCATTATAAATGTCATAAAATCATCTATAAATTAATCACTACTGGCTGCTCGATTATACATATATTTATGAGTATTCACTTAACTATAGTCGTGACGTCGTACGCATGGATTTTGAAAGTACCTAAGCACTTGTAGTAGTTATCAAAATATAACAAACACTACATTTTAAATTAGACCTTCAGAATGACAACTGTAATAACTGCATCTAATTTGCTACAGTAGTATCTGCGTAATGCCGAGAACAAACATGCAGACAGAGAGAAATTAAAAAAATAATAATAAATGAATGAACGAGTATAATTTTTGCATTATACAATATAGGGAATAAGCAAGACAATTAATAAATGTAACGGTACTGTTGTATAAGTACAGTAAGGAGGTCTTATTGCTGAAAACAATCTTTAGAAGACAACCTTCAAGTAATGAACTAATTGTCATACAATTAGATATGATAATATTGTATAATTAAGAAAGTAAAACGTTAAAATTTTGTTATTGCCCCTCATATATTGGTGTATGCAGATATCGTTTATAAAGCGACGGTTACCACTTTCTATCAATTTGACTGAAATTTTCGAGTAGAATAAAAACTATAAATACCTTCTGGGCTCGTCCATGATATGGATCTTCAGTGAAACACTCTTGCAATTCATAGCCACAGCGCCGAATATCATCTCACCGAGCACTTTGGCATCAGCCGCCGGACCCTTGTACTGGACAAATAAACATGCTTGTTATTTAATTAAAAAATATAACTAGTACACATACATGTATTTTTAGGACAAATTCCTTATAGGGTAAGCAAAGAAAATTATTGTATGTAATTATTATTGTATATAAGAATAGAGGCCTTTGGTACTCGATTTTGTCTTACTGCAACCACTTTCATAGCTTGTCTCACGTAAACATCAGATTCACTGAATCTTGTCGCTTTCCTTAAGAAATACGTAGTTTATTTAGTTTGGATCATGGTTAGCATTTAGGCTTTACCTAGTGCCTGCACCCTTACAATTTCGCATAAAACTAACTGACGCAACATATGTTTTTCCTAATTTTCAAATACGTAAACTCACACGTTCAAGATGCTGTTTTGTGGATAATGGACAAGTAACAATCACCTCGTACGAACGTCATATTTGGCATCTAATAATAAATATATGACTTCTACTCGCCTACTAAAATACCAATATCTTGAAGTTTTCACAAACAATGGCTCGACGTGATAAATCTACGCTCTCTAAATAGTTTAATGATCCCAAATCGATCCATGTTTATGAACCTAAACACCTACTTTACGTCCAACGTAGCCTGGCAATGGCTGAGTGGCTAATCGGTCATTATTATTATGACTAGTTCAGATACGATCGATCAACTTCATAGAAACTTTATAGAAACAAACATAGTTATTATAAATATTTCGAAACCACAAAACAAATTAAGGAATGTTTTCAACAAACAAATAATAAAGATCGAAAGATTATAGTTTGCGCTAAATATGTAGGAAAATACATGCTGATTTTTTTTTAATAAATGATAATGGAATGGTAACCCAGTCTGCGCTAACGGTATACGCTGACGGGGTACCAGTGCGGGATGATAGATGAGAATGAAAGGGCATGTCAGTTAGCCCATCGTGATGAATAAACCTGGAATTCATCACGATAGTATCAAGGGAGCTACGTGGAGGTCGATCTAACAGCGATTGTTATCAATGGGACTGGCAGTTCATATTACTAAAGATCCCCCCCCCCTACGTGCTGAAGTTATAATTATATAGAGTAAAAAGTAGTAATTTAAGATATACAAGAAAAGTACATATTATATGAGAATACATCCTATCGACTACGAAAATAAACATCAACATCGGATCATAATAGACATACAGAAAAAAAAAGTAATCAAGTCTCCTTCTTTTAAAGTCAAATAACAATACAATAAAATATGATCTGAATCTTTTTTAATAATTTTGACATTGGAAAAATTTGACGAAATTCGAACCTGCGTAACAATTACGCGACAATCATCATAAAAATGTTAATGATGTATAAGTAGGTAATACGGAAGCACTATTAATGGATATGTATATAAAAAAATAAGCGATTGCCATAATCCGGCGTATGGATAATGGCATGTGACATCCGACATGCTATACCACCACATACCACGTGACGAAAATCCTTATTACATTATAAATGCAAAAGTGATTTTATTTGTTACCTTTTGGGATCTTAACGGGTCAGCCAATCATTATTAAATTTAATATACACGTAGAATATGGGATGGAGAAAGACATGGGCTACTATACTCGTATATCCCGATCAATCGACATATTCTCCCGGTCACGCGAACGAATTCAAAGGTAAAAGCTAGTAACAACGTAATTAAACAACATGGATAAAATTAGGAAGATATGTTACCATAGAAGCAAGCGGTTTTGTAGTTTCTATCTATTCCTAACGTAAAAATTCAAATCGATAATATTAGTAGTTGCTGGAATATTGCACTGTGATAGACAGACCGACGGACAAAGTCGCAACATAAAGTTTCCTTTGTATCAATTTTGTACGGAACCCTAAAAAGCGTGAGAGCGGAAATAACCGTCCAACAGCCTATTCAAATTTCAAACCTACATTTCTTTACAGTATATAAGTTAAAAAATAATATCTGTGACGGAAATACTAAGATCAAATGGACGAGCACTAATTAAATTCGTGACGTACTGAAAAAGGGCCAAGTAAAAAATACTCTTAATTGGCGAACATTTATTAATATACTGATTAATGTAGAGGAAGTTATTTGACTCGGAACATTTGGCTTTCTTTAATTTTTATTTCTGGCCACTCCAGTGGGAGAAGGGCGTGACGAGATGGTCGTAGGTATAAATAGAGTATAGTTGCATCATCAAGGTCTACGCAAACGTGAACTTTTTGTTGATGGAAAAGTTTCCCTTTAGGTATGTAAGCTGTTATGTAACAACACATGAGAGAAAGAAAAAAGTATTTTTATTCAAGTAAACTTAGATTTAAGCATTTTTGAATAGTCATTTTTTTTTCATTACCGGACGATATGGAGCGCAATTTCAGCCAAGAAGGACGGACAAGAAAATCAGCTGTTGCTTATAATATAAATGAATTTATGTGAATATAAACTACTAAGCAGTAAGAGATCACAAAGTGTAAAATATTTAGTATATATATTTAAAACAAATCAATAAAATAAATCAATTTCAGTGATCAGAGCATAACAATCCCTACAGGGAGCACGCTCTTCATAGCCTGTATCTTTATGGGTTATATTATGAACGAATTAAAATTCTCTTTTCGGATTCAAAAGCCTAGGACTACGTGATAAATGTAAAGAAATATGTCGGCAAATGTCTGAGAATTAAATTTGATTACAACTTAGAAGGCTTGCATAAGTAATCAGTGTATTGAATGATAATGGAATGGTAACTCCGCCTGCACTAACGATATACGATGGCGGGGCACTAGTAAGGGATGATAGGTGAGAATGAAAAGGCAGGTCAGTTAGTCCATCGTGATGAATTCACCTGAAATTCAACACGATAGTTTCCAGAGGGGACCACATGGAGGTCGGTTATAGGGTATATTGCTAGCAATGGGACTAGTAATCTACATTACTAACCCCCCTCCCCCTTAAGGTCAGTTGCACATAGGTTGTTTCTTGTGTTCTCTACACATAAATATAATATTACTGTTAGGTTTTCTGGTGACGTATGATGTAGGTAGGTCAACAAGTCAGAACTTTGGCTCTGTTAGCTTGTTTATTACCATTACAACCAAGGTCATAAGAAAAATTAAAGTTATCGTTCCTAAATTAATCGAGCGATCGAGCACTAAAATACACGTAAATCGATCCGGTTCGTCTTACCGTTATAATTAATTAAACGTATTTATTACTTTTTTATTCTTAGAAATTAACGGCGTCAAAAAAATTCAAAGCATTATAGGCATGGGTAATATCCGTACCGTTCTGATATCTATATATTGGGTTTTCTGGAAATTGATGGTGATAAAAGGTCATCACCCATTTCGATATCGCCTTATACCAGTTGGATATCTCCATTCGTTTCAATGGAGTGTTTTATTTCAATATTATATATTGGACAACCGATATATATATATATATATATCTATTTTTTTTTTTATTTATTAGACACATAAAACAGGTCATAACCATAAAAAACTTAAACAATAGTTATATTTGTGATACAGCTAGGTTACAATCCAATTACATTATGTGCACAGCTTGAGTGATTCATGTAAACACAAGCACTTAAATAAAATACTTAAAATTTATTGTAAAAGATAAAACTATATAAATGATTCTATGTGTTCAATCATATTTTACAAAACAGAGAACAAAGAAGAAAAAAAGAGTAAAAATTTTGTTTGTCATAGAATTTGTGGTCAAATAGTAAGTCGTAATAATGATGACACATCCTTTCCACAGGATTGTAATAAGAAGTGTTATTTCTATCAACTTGGTAAACAATTTATGAATAAGATCACGTACTTTGAACCTCGTATTAAAATTGATATTATTTAGTAGTAGAGATAGCGAATCTATAACGTAATGAATGATTTTGTACAGACATAGTATGTCACTACACTGACGACATTTTTCTAAAATCTAATATGGAAATGTTCAAGCCTTCATAAGAACTCAGTTTGCGAAGCAAGCCTGTTCGAAACGCGAGTATATTAAGGTATTTGCGCTGAACACTTTCAATGCGACAACAATGTACTTTATAAAATGGAGAGCAGATAACTGAGCCGTACTCTAGAATATTTCTCACCAGTGATTGATACAGAGTAATAAAATTGCGTGGATTCTTAAAGTTTCTTATTAATCTAGTAACAAATCCCAGCAATTGATTGCTTCAGTTTATGATATATTCATAATGTGGTTTAAAAGAAAGTTTGTCATCTAAAATAACACTCAGATCATTAGCGGCATTTGTACGCTCCAGTATTTGTCCATTACCAGTGTAATTATAAATTATTTTTGTGATTTAACAGTAAAAGACAACACAAAACATTTACGTACTAAATTATTAATATTGATAATATAATTGCAATATCTATAATAAAAGATGTTTTTTTTTATGAGTTAAAATGGTATGGTAACCCCGCCTGTCCTAACGGGATACGCTGGCGGAGCACCAGTGGAGGGTGATAGATGAGAATGAAAACAGGCCAGTTAGCCCATCATGATGAATTCATTAGGAATTAACCATGATAGTTTCCAGAGGGAACCGCGAGGAAGTCGACCTAGTTGGGTATATTACTAGCAATGGGATTCTCAGTCTCCTTCACTAACAATCCCTTTCCCCCCAATAAAAGATATGTTATATATTGCTGTCTATAGGATGGGTACCCTTACTTTCATAGATCATTCGGTTTCGTGTTACATTGTATGTATATTACGGAGCATAAGTTTGTAACTTGACAAAATTTAATATTCCCTCTAATGTAATGTGTATTCAATTTGATTGATTGAAAAATAGTTCGAGTAACAAGTGGTATACGCAATCTAGGGCGAACAGGAAGCACTAAATAGGGGATCTTTAAAATTTATTTTAACACTAAGCCTCATTTATACTCATTTTGGCAAATTAGGGAGGATGACCACGATACCGATAAGTGTAAATGGAGACAGTTATTATCTACCTACGGAACTATTCATCCGTTACATTATCACTAGTTACTGAAACAAGACAAAAATATTCATAATATGCAAACTTATACGTAAGCATTTTATAGGAAGATTTATTACTAATAAGCGTTTTTTAAATTCGTAGCACGACACGACCGTCACTGTTTGTAAATATGTTTGGATGTTTGTTGCTCAGACTCTTTTAATTAATTTTAACATAAAATGGCACATACATAAACCGATACGGTGAATTAACATATACTTATACTATATCTTGATCCATGCACACAAAATCACGGAGCACAAATAGACCTATAGATGTAAGGAACGGATTGTTAGTAGTAGCCCGATTGCTAGCAATATACCATGTCAATATTACAACCTAATAGAAACTAAGTTCATTTCTGTCAAATTCGTCAAAGTGAACCTAATGACTTGACCTCAATCCTCACCTATCATACCAAACTAGTACCCCATCAATATAAACCCATAGCAAAACTATGTGGGGAGGAGGGATTATTACTAATGCAGAGTATTTATCACGATGGGCTAACTGACCTGACATCCATTAAAAAAAATAGAAATATTTCCATTCCATTTTCATTCATTTAAAAAGGCTATAATAGCTATAGGAACAGAAACTATACAAAGACATGTGATGTCCATTAATTGAGACAGGCTAAAATTACAATGCCACGATGTAGTTCATTATTCCCACTTACAGAACTAAAAGGCTAAATACAATATAAGTGGGCTAAATTTAGAACGAACGTGTGCGAATAAACGAGGGTCGGCAGTCATGTGATCGCACTCTGTCAATTGTAATGTTTATTTTTAAACTGATATAATGATAAGAATACAAGCGCACAATAACAATGGGTAACACGTAATCAACACTCTCATTAGACTGAGAAGGCTAATTTTAAATGACTTCCAGAAAGAGGTTTTTAATTTGCATGCACTTTTTTTACATACACATCTTCACTAATTCTGAACAAACTGATAATTATTTTTAAACTAATGTACTCTTATGTTGATTATTTATTTTGTTCTTATTGGAGCCATTATTTCCTTTTTGTCATTTCTCTTTGTAATGTACATAATCTGCACTTACAAACGTTCATAATTTTTGCTTATTGAAGTGTGGCAACGCCGCACTTAACTGTCAATTTAAAAAAAAATGAAAAATGAATGATTTTCAATGTTTATCACATAATAAACTATATATGAATCTACCACTAAAACTTTGGCCTTCTTCATATTTTACTTCGATTTTTTTAAATATGTTTTGCCATCAAAATCCAATTTTTTAGTGATAGTATAGTAAAAATATTATTACATGATTAACATTATAGTTTAGTATTATTCAGAACACTTTTAAATAATCAATCTCACAATACAACAATCAAACATTTAGGACGTTCAACTGTTTTTTAAAATTGACAGACATTTGCTACACCTTGATATGAAGGCTCTAAGGTTCTCAATTACAGATTATGAGTCTTTTTGGGGGAATGTTACATAATATCTAAAACCATTACTAATTTGTTGTCGACTTTTATATCAAAAGTAATATTTACGTATTATGAAATAATCTCACATTTATCCATTTATGATAACACTATGTTATGAGTAAAAAAACATTTAACTCTTATAAATGGCAAATGAATCAATCGTAAGATGCAGAATCGCTAATGGCTACTTGATACAGAAAAAGATTTTATTATTTCTATTGAAAACATGTCTAATTCTCAATTTTACCACCTATATCTAGTAAATCCCTTACTATATACTATAATATTGTTGGTTGATTATGCTCATAATAATTTTACAAAATAAAACCTACATCAAAACCACATGTTTCTACCACTAACCAGTAATATTGCATGGTGGTGTTGCAGTTTGAAGATTGAGATATGGTAGTAAAATTACAAATTATGGAAGAATACTCTGTAACTTTTGAATTCTCATTTACTGCAATACATACGGTGTACTATAAGTATCATAATGCATTTTATAAAGCCCTTAGTATTATTCCCTTGCCTAAAGGTGATAGTTATCACTTCCCATCAAATGGATCATCAGATTGATTACCATTATTTATCCCTAAATTATATATGAAAAACTTACCACATACGCAAACCCTTCAGACACCTCCACAATACAGGGTGCATCGCTAGCCTTTCTAATATTTGGTTTGTCATTCTTCCCAGCTGGTACTTTATCAATACTGGACGAATCAAATAAGAGCTTTCTACCACGCCAATCACACTCTTTGAATAGAAGCAACCTCACTTGCTCCTTGTTAATTTGAGAACACCTGTGGACAAAATATCTTACTATTAACATACATGTGAATTATATTATAATGTGAATTATAATCATTTAATATTTCAAAGTAGCATATTATAATTTTGAACATAACCTTACTAGAGATTAAAATACAATTACAAAGCATAATACACCAGTAGAAAAATAAGATGAAAATCTTTAGACCTTATACAAAGTCACCAGACCAGTGTAATTATAGCTTCTTCTTTTGTGAGGAGTGACCCATGCCAAGCATAGGGAAGTTAGTGGACTATAGTTATGATGATAGATGATATATTGATAAACCACAGTATTTTATAGTCCTATACTTGTACAATCTACTAATGAAATAATACCGTTTAAAGTAAGCTTAGCGATAAGGCCGCCTTTTGTATCACTTCTCATTAATATTTACTGTATTTGTTATTTCTCTTTTTACTTAGTGCAATAAAGTGTAAATAAATAATAAATAATAAATAAATAAATAAATAAATAAATGAAATAATACCATTTAAAGTACTTTATTTCTTACGAACAACTGTATCTGATGCAAAGGTACCATTTCATTCATTTATATCTATTAATAACAGTTATCACTTTCCAACAGGTAGTCTGTTGACTAATTTACTATTCCAAGTTGCAAAAATACAATAGCTCTAGTTGCTTCAGCAATATTGTTTAATTCATTTGAATTTAGCTTAAGTTGTTGATACATTTGTTTCTTATATTAAAAAAAAAAAATCTCCTCATGATTATGATTTTTTATTAATAACTTGACAGGATTAAATGCCAAGTTAATTTACAACCCATGTAAAACATCAGAACAAATTATATGACTTAAAAATCAACCCCCTAATTCATAAAACTTAAAAAATCCTGCAAATTTTTTATAATTATTTGTTCTGCAACTGTTTTCAAATAAAAAATTATAAAACAAAAAAAAAAAGACAAAACATATAGATAAAATAATTATGTTTATAGAGTGTTTGAAATTTGTATGTATAATGAGACATGTCATAAAGTCCCATTCATAAACATGAGTATAATTAATATACCAAAAGTAGTAAATAAAATCATGACATCACTTTTAAAATCAATAGTGTAGAAGTCTACATCAGTCTGAGCTATCCTACAAAAATTTAAACAATCACCCCTGTTACAAATATTCTAGACTTTACCAGGTTATTATTCTCAATTAAAATATTAAATTATTATTACCTAAATTTCATTTTATTTCATACTCGCATCAGCTGATGACAGCTGTTCAAAAAAGCAAACTGTCAGCAGGGGAAACTGTGTCACTTGCACTCACAATCCTTTTATGCAACCATAGTTTTCACTTTAAATGCACGTCAATGTTCTAATAATTATTGCTGTCGTCCGTAAGGAGTGGAATGTACTGATGTACTATCTTGTTTGAATGTAAATAATAAGTAAACATTGTCGCCCCGCCCCCTCGTAAGTGACGCGAACATTGATTGCGCGGTCGCCCACGCCCGCACCCCGCAGTCTTTATCTGTCGTAGATGCTTGCCGCTTGCCATGGTGCCAGCATCTCGTGCGTCAATCTGCACCCAAAGGTCCATGGAGCTCCTTCAGACGTCCACGGATATGAACATCGTGCGTCAAGCTTCGCAGCACATGTCACACCGAACAAAAATAAGTTATCATGAATGAAAGGCATTTAATGACGTACCTGATTGCACTTTGTAGTCCGCGAGTACTATAATCGAATTTTCTCTTTACAGGAAATAGTTTATCGAACAATGCCATTGCATCAAACGTGACATTTCACTGAATGGTCATAGCTATATCGACCTGGTATCATCTTTATTAGACTCATTTAGTGAATACTCTAAAGGAAATTCAATTGTTCTTGTTACACCTTCCCATTTTGCTAAGATTATTGAAAAATGTAAATAACATTAGTGACAGATCACGTGCAAACAAGTCATATGATTTTTCATAGACAATAATAAATTATTTTTATGGAGAGCGAGGTCAAGGTCATAAAGCGTTCCATTCCTGCTATATTGTAGCGACACATAAAACAATTCTTAAATAAAGTATCTAAATAATCAATTATTTTGTAGTACATGTACTAATTTCTCGAATTTCTTCGATTATTATGTTTTATTACAATCTAAAAAAATAAAATAAATTATTATGCATAAAAATAGAAGAAATTTCTATTAAATGGGCTGAAATGGGCAAGTCTAGATCTAAGTGTAGTCGTAAACCATAGACAAAATCATCATCAAAAACTTGCTTGTAACAAATCGCAACGTCAAAGTAGAGATGTGATCGTTTTTTCTCCGTTACCGTTTGGTACATTTTAAGAAAAATTTCAACGGGTTCGGTAGTATAGTGTTAATAATCTGATTCTTCAATAATTAATCAATTTTGATTTTAACATTATTATATGAAATCGGTAGTAATCGGTCGTCTTTATTTTAAAGAACAAATTTTTTTCAAATTGTAATAATAATTTTGAGGGAGAATTCGATTCTCACGGTAGTAACAAAAAGTTAAATGATGCATTATTGCGATTTTGTTTAATTTTATTTTATTACCACTATAAACGAAATTAAATTATAAATTTAAAAAAAAACTGTTTTACTAAAAGATATGTGGGTATTCAACATAAGTATGACAATGTAGTTCATTGAATAAAGAAATATAAAAAAAAATCAGAGTATCTAACTTATATATATGTTGCAACGTTTGTATCGAACTAGATGTAATACAGCAATTATTCAAGTAAATAGCTCTTGCTAAGCGTATCATTATAATGACTCATTCATACAACAGGTGAATAATAAAATAACTAGCTATTTGGCTATTACAAGGCTAGCTATTACACCATAAATAGCCGGATAGTTAAGTCACAGATATTTCGGTTAAAGACAATCCCTAGTTGATACAGCTCACGTCACGAACAAACCTCTCAATCTAACAACCGACACTTGATATTATATTTACACTTTTTGTTTTGTTTTTTTTTATTCGTTAATAGTTTTTAAATATTAAAAAAATAATTATACTACGTATCTTAATTTTGTTTAAATTAAATTCGCTTTGGCGAATTTCGTAATATTATTCACAAACAGAATGAAACGCCCTTGTAAGTTTCAATAAATAATTATTTTGTCATTTATTATTTTTTTTTGTCATTTATTTTGCAAATAGGTTATGTATGTCGTAATAACAATCTTGAATATACCAATACAGTTTTAAGGTGTTCACTATAATTTATGTAATTTAAATATGCAAACTTGCGAAGAAATCTATTATAAACTAGAAAGTTTTAAGGATAGTGTTAAAGAATCTTTATCAGAGATTGAAGAGTTGGATGTAACTTGTAAAACAAATCTACAAAATTACTTGAACAATATGAATTCTAAAAATCCAACAGCCATCATAAAAATTCAAGCAATAATTGATTATATGTATGAGAGAGTTAATATTGGTAATTGGAAAGAGGTGAAGCTGTTTTTAAGAAAAACCATCACCATAGCATCATATTTGAAGTTAGTGTATCATGTGAAACAAGCTGATATGCTGGATGATTTGTTTATAAAAGAATCATATAAAATTATAGATTTTGGTATTCTTTTTGGATGTCCTTTAGATAGAGAGCCTAAATTGCTACAAAACTGTGCATCATGTTTCAATGATGTCTCGCAACCATCTTTTTATAATGTATGTAATGATAAGTGTATGGTAGACAGTGTACAAGAAAGTATTGACTTTGAACATAATAAATACAGTACTCACCATCTGGATGTTCTTGATTGTCCTAGTATGGAACATTTTTATAGAAATTATATTTTAAAAGAACAACCGGTAATTTTAAATAATTGTATCAATCACTGGCCAGCTCTAAGTAAATGGAAAGACATAAATTACTTAAAAAAAGTTGCTGGCTCAAGAACAGTACCTATAGAGTTAGGTCGGGTTTATACAGATACTGATTGGACACAGAAACTAATGACAGTAGATGAGTTTATAAGTAAACATATTTACCAATGTGATAGTTCCACTGGATACTTGGCCCAATATCAACTGTTTGAACACATCCCAGAATTAAAAAAAGATATTTCAGAACCAGAATACTGCTGTTTCTCTGATGATGAGGAAGCTATCGACATAATGGCTTGGTTTGGTCCAAAAGGTACCATATCTGCTCTACATCATGACCCCAAAAGGAACTTGTTGACTCAAGTTATTGGTGAAAAACGTTTATTCCTATTTTCGCCCAGTGATTCAGATTTTTTATATCCACACGAACATGAGTTATTGAACAACACAGCACAGGTAGACCCGAGGGAGCCAGATCTAGAGAAATATCCCAAATATAAGAATGCCACACCATTTTACTGTGTCCTACATCCTGGTCAGATGCTGTACATACCACCAAAGTGGTGGCATTTTGTTGAATCACTCTCTATAAGTATATCAGTAAGTTTCTGGTGGAGTTAAAACAATTCATTTCATCAAAAAAAAGAGGACAATTTCTAATAAAAACAATATTTAAAAATAAAAATGAGGTTTGTACCCTAAATATTTTATAATTCTTGATTATGGATAGATATCACTTTTATAATATTAATAAAAATCTTTAAAACATTTATATTAAACAACATTACAAGTTGTTTAAGGAACTAACAATATCCTAATTACAATTAATTGAATCTTCAATTTCAGTACTTTATTATTTTTTATGTTAAAGATAGGTAGGTACATATAAACTAAATAATAAGAAAAAAATTAATTGCAATATTTTTATTAAAATAAAAAATAATTAAGTAGGCACAGCCAATTCAAACTAAATAATTTATTAAATTGTATATTATCAACTTAATAATGAAAATTGAAATATATAATGTATAAAAATAATGTATTTATCTCTCCTCAGTGAGATTCAAGAGCAATAAAAACTCAGAAGTTATCTTCTATTTATTTATATTCATTATTTAGAGCTCTTCCAATCAACATTCTCCGTACTTCAGATGTACCAGCACCAATTTCATACAATTTGGCATCCCTAAGTATTCTTCCTGTTGGGTAGTCATTGATGTAGCCATTACCACCTATAAAAAAATAAAACTCAATTTTATGATTCACATTTGTGAACCTTCCTTTCCTTTGTATGACCTCTCCTATTCTGATATTATTCATCTTTTCTGCTAAACTTTTATTACTCTTAGAGGTCTCCCAGGCTGGTCACTAATCTATTGGCAAAATAGTAAAAAAATTCAACTCAATTGGTAACATGTGTAATATATTTTGAAAATAGAAGTCACATAGATTATTGTGAAAAGGTGAAATGTGAAAGAAGCTTGTTTTGGCAAAGGGTAAATAAGAAATCATGCTATGTCAACTAAGTGAAGAAGAGTATAGCCAGTCATTATCCCTCTACTTAATTTACAGGGTACAAAGGAATAACACCAGAGTCCTCAGGAATGGCAACACATGAGGGGTATCATGGGCGAAACAGTATACTCTGTTATGTCCATGGTACTGCTCATGTCTATAGGTGACGGTTACCACTTTCCATCAGGTGGGCTTATATATATATATATATATATATATATATATATATATATATATATATATATATATATATATATATATATATATATATATATATATAACTTATCTTACTTTATTTTTTAGGAGAACAGAAAGAAGTACAATGACTATTATAGCAAAGGATAGATACAGATAGGAAACACTCAAGACCCTTATGGAAATGTTTTAAGGTACAATTTTCAATTTATATTTTTATCAAATACCTACATATTTGTATGTATCTAAACTAAAATTATAAATAGGAAAAATTTTATGTTTGTAATGAATAAACTTATATTTACATAACCAATTTAAAAAAGATACTTTCACCTATAGAAAAGTACATTATCAGCAAAAGCATGGTCTGTATTTAAAAAAAATAGACTATACAAAGCCAGGGCAAATCAGTAGTGTATTGTCAGTTCATAATATTATTTAAAGGGATATTTATTTATTTATTCCTTATTGCACAATAAAATTTGTACAAATGATGAATCCATCCATACCACCATTATTATTAGGGGTTATAATAACATCATATGTGTAACTATTCAATTGTTGTATTTAAAATCTTACTCGTTATGCACCAACCAAATATCAATCTTAATAACTTAATATAAGTAATCAATTTCATTACCTAAAATCTGAATCGCGTCCAGAGCGACGGACGTGGCTTTCTCTGCGCAGTACAGTATCACGCCGGCGCAGTCTTTACTGTTGATGTGACCACCGTCGCAAGCTTTCGCAACATTGTACAAGTAACTGCGGCATGCACTTAATGTTGTATACATGTCGGCCATTTTACCCTGGAATATATTAACCATGTTTTACCAGAGGGAGACTTTGTACAAAAGTCGTTTGCTTGGGTACCTCTGTCGCATTCGTTTTTCAACCGTGAAACAGTTGTGTTTGCATAGCTGTGCTTCGGTTTGATATGGCAGTAAATTTACAGGGTACAAAGGTATAACATCTTAGTCCTCAGGAATAGCAACACATTTATTATGAGCGAACCAGTTTATTCTATTATGTCATGGTGCTCATGTCTATAGACGACGGTTACCACTTTCCAGCAGGTGGACCGTCAGCTTGTTTGTTATTCTAAGATGTACTTATCTGTAAAATAAATCTCTTCCAGTCAACCTAATACAGTGGCATAGGTAATAGTACCTTCCACAATTCTTATTTTTATGATTTTTTTTTATCAAAATGTTTTATATATTATGACAACTTATCAACGTCTCATTGCGGGTCTCTACCATTGGAGTAGTACATAATCCTACAATTACCATACTGCTCAGACTTGGTATTAATTTCATCTTGAGTTCTGTCTTTTTTGATGAGGTAGTGTGCTTTGTTTCCTTAATAAATTCATGCGATATCATTAGAATGAAAAGGAATCGTAACACATCATATTCTTATTTTATCACAATATGAGAACACTAGATTTCTGTATTGCCAATAAGCATGTTTCATTTTATGTATTAACGCTCTTATTCATAGAAAAAAACTATCTCTTTCTTTTGTGCTATATTCCCAATTTGAAAGTGGTAAAACAGTTTAATAGTTAAAATAGGTTTGTAGTTAGTTTTAGACTTTATAATATAAATAAGGGAATTACACTTTTACCATTACCTTTTTTTTTGACATTAAATATAAACATTACCTGTAATAATTGGAATTCTCCAATATACTGTCCAAACTGTTTCCTAGTGTGTGCATACTCAAAGGCAGTATCGATAGCCGCCTGCATCAGTCCCACGGGACCGCCGGCAAGCACCAAACGTTCCAAGTCTAAGCCCGACATCAAAACGTACACACCTTTATTTTCTTGCCCGAGTATATTGGTCACTGGAACCTAGACGTATAAATTTTTAAAATTATTTGTTTGGCATCGTTTATAATACAAAGAGGCAGAGTGAGAGCGAGGCATAGTGCGGAGTAACGACCAGTTGTCTACCCCTTTTGACATATGCCGAATTAATAATATCAAATTGACAATATATATATTATTATACCACAACCCCCGTAGGGTTGTATGTGTATTCTGGCACATACAAGTAATTTTTCGGTGATGGTGAAATGTGATGACGAAGCATATAGATAGACAGATAAAAAATATGTCTTTGGCTTCTATTATTCTTATTCCTTTTCTATTCTATTATTCTTATATCTCTCATATCATTATTTTTTTAATATATCCGATGTACAAATATCATGTATTATATTTTTTTATATTAGTAAAATAATCCTAATAAAATGACCACTTCTACATGGCGTATCATATTATATATATACATATATAATTCTTTACGAATACAACTAATAAAACCGCATCCAATTTGGCGCAATTGTTTTAGCTTATTCCGTTCCTGTTAAAACCCGTCACATTTTTTTTTATCTTTGTTTTTTATATCTTCTATATACAAAGTCTAGTTACATTCTTATTACATTAGTACAATTTTACTGAATCTATCTGTACCTTACAATCTTCAAACACCAACTCTGCAGTATTAGACCCTCTCATGCCGAGCTTGTCAAGTTTCTGTGCAGTTGAAAATCCAGGGAAATCCTTCTCTATTATAAAAGCCGTTATTCCATGTTGCGGCTTGGCTGTCACGTCTGTTTTTGCGTATACCTGAAATATGCATTAGAAATTTTATGTTACATATACTGCCGTGTGGTCCCGGCATTTGGACCACTCCTTCCTTTCTCTTGAATGTCGTGAGAGGCGACTAACAGAACTTAATTGTCGAGGGATACGCAGCAACGACTCTCTTAAAACATCATTAAAGCCTAAGTGCGGTTGCCAACCCGCTTGCCAAGTGTGGCAACTACTGGCAAAACCCCCCAATAGGGTAAGGCCTATGTTCAGCAGTGGACAGCTGATATGTTTATAATTATGAATTTTCATAGTGCCTCCGAACAAACTTTTTATACTACTCCTGTCTCTCTAATGGTTGCCTGGAAGATATCACTTTTAGCGATAAGGCCGCCCATGGCTTTGTCAGTATAATTTTTTTTTAATTGTTTATATTTATAATAAGTTTTCTATTGTAATCTTTTGGAGGAAATAATAAAGATCTATCTATCTTTTTGTTACATATATAAAAAAGTCACTGTTTCGGAAAACTATGCCAATAAATTCACCTTATAATAAGCAAACAACTGTTTTATCAATGAGTTGTTAATTTTCTTCAAACCTGTGATGTGATGAATAATTCGATAACTAATATCTAGGATATTACATCCTAGGAGGAGGACAAAAGTATTTTTTTCAAAAATTCACATTCTAAATTAGTCCGACCGAGATTGGAACTGATAGACACTCTTTATAGTTTCATCCAAAAGATTACAGTAGTAAACTTATAAATAAATACAAACAATTACAAGGCTAACACTGACATCTCATTTATGGAAATAAACGTAAAGAATAGGTGGCAGAAAACGTCAAATGGTTGATAGCAACCATAATAATAAATCATATAGATGATATTTTTAATTACGCAATAATTTAACTGTTATGCCCCAAAATCGTCTTATTTGAAATAAAACTATAAAATCCCATTTCATTACTTGAATTCGTCACTATCTGACCTCATTCTCATCTATTATTCAACACTAGTACCCCGCCAGCGTATACCAATAGTGCAAATGGGGTTATTATTCCAATTTTAACCGACTTTGAAAAGAAGGAGTTACTCAATTCAGCTGTACGTGATTTTTCATCTCTTAAAAAAAATTCCAACTACATATATTCCATCGAAAGGGGACCATCAGCCTGTTTGTCATTTCAAGGCGTATAAAAGTCTAGCTGTATCCCATGACTTTTCTCGAATGAATCAGTATATAAATTATTCTATATACTAAGTTAGGAACCTTAGGAAAATAGTTAACTTACCCGTGTATTGAAATTTCATTCTAATCCGTTTAGTAGTTTTTGCGTGAAAGAGTAACAAACATCCATACATTATTACAAACATTCGAATTTATAATAGTAATGGGATATATTTCTTACCACTAAAACGTCAGCATCTGGAGCATTAGTGATCCAGAACTTGTTTCCATTCAACACATAATAGTCCCCTTTTTTCTCAGCGCGCAATTTCATAGAGACCACGTCGCTTCCAGATCCTGGCTCCGACATCGCCAGTGCACCAATGTGTTCTCCCGAGCACAACTATAAAGAAAGAACATTAACTTAAAATAAATTTAAAATTTAAGAGAAATTAAAAAAAATCGTGGCCATACCAGTACTTTTGATTATTCCCTAATGGAGCAATTAGAGCCATTTGTAGACTTTGCCATTGTGGTGAACGTAACACTGTAAACATTCTCTGAGTATATTAAAATGCAATAGACGAGTTTACTGCGTTTACTCGAAATAATTTGTTTATAATATTTTCTATCGCCGAATAATTAGTCGGAAATTTAAACTAATACGCAAATTGTTTGAGGTGAACCTGATTTGAACTCAAGACTTTTAAGGTCAGAGTACTGTTATGAGAGAATAATACAATGATAATTGTAGTGAAGTATGTTAATCAGTTGACAATAAATATTTTAAGTAGCAATATAGAATATATATAATATATTTAGTAGTAGCCTGCCAAAGATATTAGAAGCGGCTCAGAAATATCTGAAGTCGAGTTAAATACATTTATTATAACTTTGTATGTTAGCACACTAGATTTATAACATTGATTTGATTTTTGCTGTTATAATGTTATAATTATTTTTAATGAATAAATAAATAAATAAAATATATAATTGTTAATACTCTAAATGTGGAAGTGAGTTTGTTTGTTTGTTACTTTATATCACCATAATGGTTTAATCAATCATTATAAAATTTGGTGTACATGTATTATATGGGATGTAGAAGGTTACAGGCTACTTTTTATCCTGGTCACATGGACAAAGTCGCGGGTAAAAGCTAGTAAGATAAATATTATTCAATATAATATTAGGCAATGATGATCTATTGTTACACTATTCTATAAATATTGAATGAAAAGTTATGGTTTTCCTAAAATATTTTACTTACCTTTGGTAAATATTTGCTCTTCTGTTCAGGTGTTCCATTTCTATTGATTTGATTTACACACAGGTTGGAATGTGCGCCGTAAGATAATGCGATGCTACCAGATGCCCTGAAATGTATATATAACCCGGACTAAGTGTCGTCAACAAAATTATAATTATAAATATAAAAAAAAAATCTGTAAATAACTTAAATTTAGAACGCGGTATCTATACTAATATTATAAAGAGGAAAAATTTTATTGTTTCTTTGTAATGGATAAAGGAATAAACTCAAGCTACTCGAAACTATTTTAAAAATTCTTTTATCTACAGTAATTTATATATTCATATCAGCCAGTAACATAGGCTATATTATTTCCGAAAATTCTACCTGCTCGTGCGAATCCAACGGCCAGATATATAGTCGCGTATATAAAAGTAAATTTTGCTTCACAATACCCTGGTGTATTGATAAGAAAGAAAAAAGGTGAAATTCGTTTCAGAATTGGCGACATAACGCGTAAAATAGTCACAAAAAAAAAACTGAGAAACACGTGATTCCCTCTGGAAACCGTTTTGGTTAATTCCTGCGGGATTCTTCACGATTGGCTAACTGGGCTATTTTCATCTTTATCTATCATCTCTCACTGGTGCCTTGCCAGCGTATACCGATAGCACAGGCGGAGTGACCATTCCATTGTCGCCTATTAAAAAAAACAACCTACTTCATTCGGAAGTCGTGAACGACAAATATATTACATGCGAGATTTTATTATATAATAGGTAAATACGTACCTTGACATTTCTTCCATAATGATGCAGTGGTCCAAATACTTTCCACCTGTGCCTCCATACTCTGGACTCGCTGTTATACCTACACATATAGTACAAATTAAACTATTTGAAGTATTGGAGTCATCTATTCTTACTTATAAAATCATTTATCCTGACAGCCTATCAACACACCACTAAAATACTAAGTCTAGAAAACTAAAATTTAAAACTGGTTTATTTTATAACATAAGTCTCCGCTAATGATTATTGTCAATTTTAACTTAAAGGAGAAATACGACACCACGCGTAAAAAGCCGCAAGCAACAGTCTTTATACAAAGTTCATCAGAATGAATACCACTGTCCCAGACCTTTTTTTTGTTGTCAAAATTATGCTGGCGGAATATAATAATGAAATTACAAGATACGGAACCATAACACTATCGTAAAGTAGGTTTTTCCATCAAGCTGTAGACCTTGATCGCAAAAATTCATCAGAATTTATAATGCATCAAGAACCTCGTTTTTAAAGTTCTTTAAAGAGAATACTCTCATTATTCTAGCAAAATTTGTGGACGAGACAAAGTTAACCATGCATGAAGTGACATTTTTCAGTGAAGCTGTCTCTAGTAAATTGAGTAAGGGTATTTCGAAAAATAAAATAATACCTAGTAGTCCCAGTTGTCCAAGTTTCTGCCAGAAGCTCCTTAACTCCTTGAAATTGTTTTCTCTGTCTATATCAGCGGCTTTTGGAGCTAATTCTTTTTGTACAAAGTCAAACACTAATTTTCGGAGCTGAAATATGTATAAATCTTATATAATATTTTATACTATTAGTCACTTATTTTTTAAAAACATGGTTTATTACGAAATGATTATAAGAATCTTCATTTTTAAAATCAATTGTAAAAATGTGACAAATATTATTGCAAATATTGCTAAAGTTTGAACAGCAAACATCACCATATAAGATGTTAATTGAAGGGCTTAGTTGCCACGTTTGGCAGGCGAATTGACAACCGCAGTAATGCTTTGGTGATGGTTTAGGAGGGACGCTGCTGCCAATCCCTCGACCACTAAATTCCCTTAATTGCCTCGTACGACACTCATGGGAATGGAAGGGATGGCCCATTCTACGCTGGGACCACACGGCCCTAAGGAATCTTTACTTAATATTGTTTACAGTAATAAAATATAAAATCTTCTCTATAAATTTATATAGAGAAGATATAATTTCCAATAGGATAGTCTAATTAATAAAAGTAGCTAAAAACGCTATGGAAATTGTCTCATGCTTTAAATAGTACCATGAGACGTATGGCCTAAGTTAAAACATGGAAAAGAACATTGTTATCATTCACAGTAATCATTCGTGTTATCGAATAAATAACAAGTCAGTTCAACAACAATCGTTTCGTGTCTCAATTCGTACACAAAATGAATATTTACATCAGCACATTATCATAATAAAATGACTTACCTGTTGCTGTTCTGTAGAGAGACCGAAAACATATTCATCTATAGGATAATGCGACATGCACCGCGTACCGGTTTTGCCACATTTATTTAATAATTTCCTTACGCATGCTACAACCATAATGATACAATATAAACGACCTATCACAGCTAGAACGAGCAATATACTGATTTGTTTGCAGTAACATTAATGATATCGTATTATTGACACAGTCGTTTAAGGTTTTATTAATAAGTAATTAAATTCAAAATCGCTTGTCATAGGCATTCTTTTTTAATACGACGTGATAATTCATGATAAGGCGTAATATTATCATGTTTATTGACATTTTATATATTGTATATTGTATAATCTAAAAGATATACGATTTCTTCATTCATATAGCATATTCTAATTGGAGGAGGTTATCAATAAACTGTTTTTTTTTTGTATGTTGCGTTTCATCTCCGATTTTGAATCGATTGTGATGAGTCTTTTTATAATCGATCGGGTTTACTCATGTCCTAGCCCCATATTAATTTTGTAACGATTGAAATATTTTAGAGATTTAAAATCTTGCTTATTCCTAACCGTTACAATTACTAACGCGACATCTAGAATTTGACGAGACTATTGACATTTTTTTTTACGGCCCACCTGATGGAAAGTGGTAACCATCGCCTATAGTACCATGGACATAACAATATATTGTTTTATATATATATATATATATATATATATATATACCCTGTAAATTCACTGATCCTTCAAAACGAAACACAGCCATGTAAACGCAACTGTTTCACCGTAGAAACACGAATGTGACATAAGTACCCAAGGAAACGACTTGTACAAAGTCTCCCTCTGGTAAATTGAAATATAATTCTGATTATTATTTTCTCTATTTTTTTTTTACTACGAAAGTGGCAACAAATACATTCCAGTTTCTTGTGAACATACAGATTAGGTATGATGATATTTTAGTTTCAAATAATTTGTATATGTTTGTGATTAATACATACCTACAACAATCATATAAATTCTTTTCTAACAACCACCTAATAGATATATTGGAAATGCATTCACAAAAACGAGGTCAGAAATTAGTTCACAAATAGTTTACCAGAGGGAGACTTTATGCAAAAATCCTCTACATGGGTTTTTGTCCCACTACTGTTTCTGCCGTGAAGCAGCTGTGTATGGTTGTCTTTCGGCTTGAAAGGTGAAATGTGGCAGTGAAATTACAGGGTACAGAGACATAACATCAAAGTCCTCAGGAATGGCAACGCATGAGTCCATGATACTGCCCATGTCTATAGGCGACCGATTCCACTTTCTATCAGATGAGATGTTAACTTATTTGCCTTCCTAAGTATTAAAAAAATACTAGTGTGCGTGTAATGTAAATGTGTGTATAAGATAGTTCTAAATTTATACGAAATTAAAGCTGTACAAGCAATAGCAATAATTGACGTATTTATTATAATTCCAATTTGTAAACGTTCATAACTTAATTTAGGTTAAATTAGATATTTTTTTCTTTCCAATTCTTATATATAATATTTCATGACTGTTCAATAATATTGCATTTAAAGAGATAAAATGTGGAATAAGTAAGGGTTTTCATTTTCGTAATTTATGTTATATCCAAATAAAGCACACTTTAGTCAACTATATTCTACTCTAAAAACTAATGCCACTTCTGTATGTAAAAATATTTAAAACCTTTTTCATATTTCTGTCAAATCCTACTGTTGAAATATTAACAGCAAAATTCTTGAGATATAGAGGTGATTCTGCTGGTAATAATTATACTTACCCTTATAATATGACGTCATAATACAGTAAATAGAGACAGCGCACCGGTCTCACTTTTTACTAATGTGTAAATAAAATAACAGTATATTGTACATTATGTTTATTTGTATATTAAATAAAACTATCAGCTTCAAAAGCACCATATTCACTAAAATTACAACAATTCAATGTTAAACCTCTCAAAAATTAACCAAGAAATTCTTAATAATAAAACATTGTTAAGTAACAATAATTATTGGAATTATGTATGTATGGTACAAGCAGTTGTCAGAGAGGATCAAATATATATCTTATTAATCTTAAGGTCAAGGTGGAAACGAAAATATTTTTAATGAAGGACAACGGATCGATAGCTCCGCGTGCGTGATAGGTTTACCCTGGTGGGGTATCAGTGAGGGATGATACGTGAGGATGAAGTCAGCCCAATGTGACGAATTTATCAGATACTAATCACGGTGGTTCCCAATAGGGTTTAAATGGACGTCGATAGATCCATTTACGAACAATCCACTAATTCGGAAATGAAAATATATCTTACTAGATTATTCTAAAATTAAGTAGGTCTATATTTTAAAACTATTTAATGATATCGAAAATGCGTCACTAGATCGTATCTTGGAATTAGTATAAAAAACACTATCAAATATATAGGATCATACATACATATAGACTGTGTACATGTTTTCATTGTACATCATATTGCACAATTTAGATAAATGCAAAGTACGTCACTGGTATCATTTATTAAAACATGTTAATTTTTCATTTTTTACATCACTAGTTTATAAATTTATTAAAAAATATGTAATAATAAATTGTATCTAACATATATATTTGTAGATCCTATGTAAAAGATACTGTTATAACCTGTTACTAATAATATACATATGCAAACATAAACTTGTTACAAAAAACCACGCGCGGTAAACAAATAATCATAGACAATAATGTTGCATGGTAAACGTTTTTGCACCTTTAATAAAAAAAAGGATTTTCTTTATTATAAGTAACTGTAATAAAATCATGCTTAATACCGGTATCTTATATAATAACTGAAATTATATATACTTTATTCACTAATATATTTTGTTTGCATTATACTTACGGAAACTGATGAATAACTAGCAATCTATCAAGATTTGTAATAATTTGAGAGTAGAATATATCAATAATCGATGACAGTACATTTAAGTAGTGTATTTAATTACAATTTGGCATTGCATATTATACGTAATTCTGCCAATGTGTCATTATGAAGCAAACATTGGCATAGGATTAACAAGTCATGGCGAGTAATCGCACGTAAAATATATGTATGTACGTAACAACGTATAAAAAACCTTAGATTGGTTTTATACGGTTTTATAAATAAAAATTTACTGAGGATGCCTTAAAGTCTTATTATAGTTTTTATGCTATTAAAGTTTTTTCAACAAAGTTTACACTATGTTTTTTTTCTTATAATTCAACGTGGATAAGTTAGGACATTTGACTATTTGGTGCAGCTTAATATGTTATCCATAGACAATATTTCTCTCTCACATATAAGTCTGAAAGATCAAGCCGAAATTATTTTGGTGAAATTGTGTGCATTTATAAAAATACTGTTAAATATAAAACATGAGAAATTTTTAAAATATGGAATGCGTTAAACACAAATAGACATATTTCCTTTAGAGGAATGTAATAAAAATTGTATAAAATTAAATATTGTGTCAAACATTATTTTAATAAAAAATATTCTATAAAATATTGCACATAGCTAAGCAATAACATTGTCAATGGTTATAAAATATAATAAAAACATAATTGCTATGCAAAAGCGATTAAATTCATTTACAGTATTACGTATAGGTCAAACCTAAGAGAACATTACTTATTATATCGAAATATTACATTTTAGATTTTAAAGATTGATAGTATTCTGAGAGGATCTTCCATGCTGTCGGTGCCATAAAGCCTTTAGGAGGCTCCTTGCCAGCTTTAGCAAGACCTATAAATATTATGTAATATTAATATAGGTAATTACAATACATCGAAGTATTGTTTTACAATGGTTAAATCATTCTTATACGTTCAATACATATACAATTTCTTTGAAAGTAGCAGAGAAAAAGAAGAGCAGGTTAGGAGACTTTATTGTTATCCCGCTCTGTTAGAGCGAGAGCGACAATTACGTCTTTAGGGCCGTTTCTTTTAAAATTTAAATAATGTTTAAAAATAGTTTACAATTTTGTTATTTCGGTATTATTGTTTTTTTTTTTATTATTTTTATTGGCATATTAATTTGGTAAACAATATTGATATCTTTATTTTATAAATTATTTATAATTAAAAAATTATTTAAATACTAAGCGCATAAAAATATTTTTATTTAAGTTATAAGAAAAAAAAAACTTTAATAAACTATTTCTATCGAATTAAAAATCTTATTGGTTATATACATATATAGAAACTAAAGCTTATTTCAAATATTTGCATAGTTATTTTAATTCGGTGTGGTGTACGCGTGAAGCAAGGTCATTGACCGTTTGCCGACAGCGCGTGCACGCAACGAGCCCCGTCGATTATGTACTGTATATTGTAATATGTACTACAGATGTTATAATAGTATGTACGTTGCATTGATTATTGACATACATACTGACACACAAACATACGAATTGCGCTGGATACTCGCCTTACGAAGATAAACTACTCTTCTTTTTCTCTTTCTCTGATAGTACGATGGGAAAAAGTGTACCAAACTAAGGCCGTTGTAAATGTATTAGCCGATAATATTATGTTCTCAGTATGCCTCGACGGATTATATGCGAAACAAATCCAATTACGATTCATGTAATTATTACTTCATATGCTTTTTAAACCCCCTAAAGAATTTTGGACTGGACTGTTAATTATGATCAACAGCTTGTCCGTTGTTGTTATAATAATTTAAGATTCTGTTTAATTGTTAAAAAATAATATTTTAATAATGGAAAAGCAATGATTTTGATTTAAATAGTAAACTCCTGAACCGACTTTGATAAAGTTTCTATGGGACTAATGTGACAATATATAAAAAAAGAATCGGATAAAAAATCCAAACTAGTTTCTAACTCGTAGACTTAAGAACACATTTACTTAAGACATAAAAAACACTACTAAATTGAGTTCCGTTTAAGTGTCGAATTATCAAAGTACGATCATAATTCAAACATTTGTTATTTAAAAGGTTCATTCTTATTGGAACTTTCCAAGATAAATAATAAGGTATACATTTGTAAATTTCAGATATTACCTCTCATCCTAGTTCCTGATATGAAGTCAAAGTCTTCCTTGCGCGTTGGATCAAAGAACGCCATCTTGCCGACTGAAATGTCGTAAGCAGCTACGCGGAATGGAATTATCTAGAAATTTGATTACATATTAACAGTCGCTTCAACATTAATTTGGAAAGTGCAATAAATAGTAGATTTGACAAATATATTTTTTATATTAGGTTTACTTAGCAAATGATTTTGGTAGGGCTTTTAATCAAAGTAAACAGTTTGTAAAATAATTAAAATAAAAAGGTTTTTGTGTTTACTATTTTGTTGTTTTTATAATATTACCTATTTATATTAAAATCCTATAGCTTTGCCCATAAATTAAAGTAAAATGTATGTTTTTGTGTAATAATGAGATGGTCATTTAAAATTCTATTATTTATATTAATAAGTATAATATTTAAATATACTTGCATTTGAAAATCTTAAAACAGATTCCAAATGTTTAACTTTTCAACTGAATGCTAACTCGTATCTTTCAGATATTTGGGTCAATGTGTTTTAGAACTAGACTATAAAAGGAATATCAAGTGGCTGTTAGTAGGATTTATTAGCCGATAGATGTCCGAATTCCAATTTTTTCTTTTAATCGAATTATAACTTTATTAGGTTTTTATGGTAAATACTTATATAATAAAATGGGTTCAGCGTTTGTCGAGTGATGCTCTTACGAGTAGCATTTATTTATTATTTATATGAAGTTGACGGGCTTTTTTCAATGTGTGAATAGAATGATAACCTCGTCTGCGCTATCGGTATACGTTGATGGGGCACCAGTGAGATGATAGGTGAAAATCAAAGCAGGTCAGTTAGCCCATCCTGACAAATTGCACAAAAATTAACCATGATGGTTTTCAGCGGAAACCATGTGAAAATCTATTGATAATGGCTGTAAATACTTTGATATGTAGACTTACTAATAGTCGATGACATAATTTTAAAATTACTGTTCGATATTACTTTTTGTCTTATCCTTTATTGTTCTAATAAAAATACACAAATACAGTTTTTCCTTTCTAATAATCACTATATATTTTCGACGATTTACAACAAAGTCGACCTACTATATACCCTATATGGCTAGCAACGAGATTGTTAGACCTCATTATTAATAATATCCTTCGCGCCGGCTGTAGTTGGCAGACTGTGGTAACAGAGTACGAACCTCGAGGTGGGCGAGGCCGGGCGCGGCACGTAGCACCATGGCGCCGTGGCGCGGGTCGTACAGGTCGCCGGCGGCGGCCGGGTGCGGCAGCCCGGCCGGGTCCCGCCCCACTATGTAGTGGTTCGCGCCCGCGTTCATGCGGCACTTCGCATGCCACTGCACCTGCGGTTCGAAAATTTCATTGTAAATTTTATAAACATTTACCACTTATGACAGGGAGTTTATACTAATAAATCTATTCAGAGATGCCATTTTATAATAATATTTTAATGTGACAATTTCATGAAATTACTATTTTGTAGATCATCATAAACGAAATTATCATCATCATATCAGCCTTTAACTGTCCACTGCTGAACATAAGCCTCCGCTTTTGGGAGTTTGCCTTTATTTGCTGCGCTTGGCAGGCGGATTGGCAATCGCAGTTAGGCTTTAGAGATGTTTTAAGAGGGACTCTGCTGTTCATCCTTAGCCTTCCCTTAATCGCCTCCTACAACAACCACGTGAAAGCAAGGGGTGGTCTATTTACCAGTAGTTTTCATGCTTGGCAGGCGGATTTGTAACCGTAGTTAGACTTTTGGTGATGTTTTAAGAAGGCCACTATTGCTCATCCCTCGATCATTAAGTTCCTTTAGTCGCCTCTTACAACGCCTACGGGATAGAAAGGAATGACCTATTCTATGCTAGGACCACACGTCTTAAAATAATACTCATATTGACGTTGTAAGAAAAAACACTTGTACTCCTCCACAAATTGTTATTATAAATACTTGACTGTTAGGGAGGAAAGGGATTGTTAGTAATGAAGACTGTGAATCTTATTGCTAGCAACCAGGTCGACCTCCTCGCAGTTCTCCCTGGAAACTATCATGGTTAATTCCTGATGAATTCATCATGATGGGCTAACTGACCTGTTTTCATTCTCATCTATCACCCTTCACTAGTGCTCCGCCAGCGTATCCCGTTAGCGCAGGCGGGGTTACTATACCATTTTCACCTATCAAAAAAAAATACTTGACTGTTTTTTTAATAATATCCATGTGTACATAGTAATCACGATTATATTAATATACCAACTCATTTACCTCGGTCGGTCCTGCGTACATCATTGGCGATGGGAATATCGCGAGTACGGTTGCCTTCGGGTCGAGCACCCCTTCGCTCAACACCGCTAGATGCTGGTTTATTCTCACTTCAAGGGGCACGTCGTCGTCCTTCGTCCAACCGCCTGAAGTTAAAAGCAATTTTTATTTTTTAATCACTTACAGAAAGAATCGAAAATTGTATGAAACAAAAATCAATCAATCAACTAACCCGAAACTAATCGTCGCAGACTATTCGGATTTCATTTTCAGCAATTTTTTTTTATACAACTTAAAATGGCAAACAAGCTAATGGCCCACCTGATGGAAAGTGGTAACCGTCGCTTATAGACATTTATTATTATTTGCCATTTACTAATTTCTTACCAGAGACTTTGTAAATGTGAAGGTTTAATTCGTTATATGTAAATTAATAATTTCAAATTATATACTAAAAAAAGGCAACATAATAGTTGTGGCATAACCAGTTATTTTAATTATAAACTAATTTACAGAATCGATTTTGACAAAATTTCCATGAGACCAATATCTTTCACCTAAATTTCAATACCTTTCAAATAAACAATTTGAAATATTATTGACAATTGAATAAAATAAAGAAATTGTGTTTTGAACTTATTCAATCAAAATTGATAATACTTTACGAGTAGATCAAAAGAGGCAACACAATTCTAAGAATGTCACATCTGCTTTTTTTTACTTATTTTGTGTATTTATTTATTACTACTAGCTTTTACCGGCGATTTCGTTCTCATGATCGAGATATGTTCACTGACTCCAATAAAAGGTAGCTATATGCCTAGAATAGAGAAGGCTATATGCCTTCTATATCCCAAATAGTATGTATATACCAAATTTCACTTTGCTGACCTGGTGTTCCGTCATAGTTGAAATCTTTGGAAATAAACGAAAATTGTGATAAAAAGCTTTGTAATCTAAACGGTCTTGCCTGTCGTAGTAAGAAGGCTACACGATAGTGCAATAACGAGTTTACTCGTCACCGGTCAGCAGTGTTAAGCTGTTAAGGCGCTATAAGCTAACAAACAAACTCACTTTCACATATATATTATTAGCAAGGATATTATATACATTTTTATATAAACAGTTAAAAGGTATAAAGGTATTTGATACGCACCCAGCGGATGTAGTAATAGGATAGGCTTCTTATAGCCCCTCTCTATCAATTGTCTTTGAGTGTCCTGCATCAACAGGGCGTGGCCGTTGTGAATCGGGTTACGCAACTGAAAGCAAAAGCTTTATTATTTTTAATTTAAGTATTTATTAAATTTTAGATCGAATATCTTACATTTTTTTTGCCTGCAAAATATAAAAAAAATCACAGAAAAAAATAAAATTTAAATTGACAATTAAAAACAGATCGTGACAATTGAAACTGTCTGAATTAGTCCGGATTTGATTGACTTGACCGGTTCCTAACTGTCTCCTCTATCTACATCTACATAAATACCAGAGGGAGACTTTGTACAAAAGTCGATTGCTTGGGTACCTCTGTCCCATTCGTGTTTCAACCGTGAAGCAGTTGTGTTTGCATAGCTGTGTTTCGGTTTGAAGGTTGGGATATGGCGTGAATTTACTGGGTACAGAGGAATAACACCTGAGTCCTCAGGAATGGCAACGCATGGGGAGTATCATGGGCGAAACAGTATACTCTGTTATGTCCATGGTACTGCTCATGTCTATAGGCGACGGTTACCACTTTCCATCAGGTGGGCCGTTAGCTTGTTTGCCATTCTAAGTTGTATAAAAAAAAATATATTTTGAATTGAATACAATCAATCTATCAGCGTTCGAAATATTCTTTGACATTTAGTACTTCTAGCTTTATCCAGCGGCTTCGGCGCTCGCATGAATCAGCAGGTACTTAAAATATCCTAAATGCTAAGTTAGGATATACAATGTTGCAGGCGTCCAAAGGATACTATAATCATTTACCGTCAGACGGGCTGTATGTATGCTTATTTCTAATCGTCGTGGTATAAAAATAAATAAATAATCCGTGTACCAATTTTCATTCGAAACCATTCAGTAGTTTTTGCTTGAAAAATTTCACATTTATTATATTAATAAGATAAATTATTTATTTATATAAAATAATAGACAGATAATAAATAATTCAATATTTTGAACATTATTAAAAAAAAAACGTCGTCATCTCACCTGGAAAGCAAACACAGCATCTGCTTGTAACTCCCTAAATTTCCTCCGCAACTCGTTGGGCGTAAGTCGATACGCGTCAAGTCCGTCATTCCATCGGATGCGTTCGAACACTTCCAAATTGCCACCTACCAGCCAGTCGCCGGATTCTGAGATCATCTGTTGATAAAATATAATTAGGAATCATCAATACTTCAGCTATTGTTATTAATAATTAAAGATTGTGCCTCCCAAAAAAATCGACTTTGCTTATGACTTAAGCCAGTTAGTTTGATCTAAAAATTAATCTATTGAACAGATTTTGACAACTGACAGAGTTATAAAATAACAAACATATAAAAATACAACTGAATTGAGAACCTTTTTTTTTTTTAAAGACTCGGTTGTTAATTACGCTCATGACTGTAATATCGAGTAATTTAGCTAACTAACCCCGACAAATAACTTATTATTTGTCGAGATTTTTTTCAACTAAAAGACTTCTAACGGATTTGTATCTGTTTTTATTAGTATGCTTAAAAGTAAACTTATTAGTAGTTTAGTAAATCCATAATAAAAGATTTGCTTAGTTTTGAACTAGATGGCGCTGTATACTATGTTGAACTATTATTTATTTAATATCCTAAAGTTGTTCCCTGTTGTTAATAAACAACACGATAGCAAGAGACTTTAAAAAGCATATTATTTATATAACTCAAATGCTTTATGTATTTGAGTGTTATTTTAGCGAAGATGACGTTTACAAATGTCATTTTTATTGTTCAAAACATATGAAAAACATTACATTAAGTAGATATGTGCGATTATTGAAAATACTTAGTTCCGCTTACCTTTATGTACGGATGTCCAGTGTGATATATTCCAAACTGACGACAGCACCTTTCCTCCTTCCTGTGAGGGTAGAACTCTGGTGAACGCAGTACGGCAACCGCGCGGCCTGCGTGGCGGAGGGTAACCGCTTCTGCACCAGCCACGCGGTCCTTGGTCGCCGTGTCTACCGCCAATACTACCGGCACGGACTGGTTGACGACGGACCCGTCCGCGAGGGTCAGACAGTTCGAGTGGAGAGCCTGTAAGTTTTTTTTTCTAATGAGTAATCAAGGAATAATAACCCTACGTGCGCTATGATTTATGATAGCTGGGTACAAAAATGAAGTTAGATCAATTACTTCATTATACCTAATTACAACAGCAGGAATTAAATACAATGGTCTCCAGCAAGGCTTGTGAAATCTGTCGGATGATGAATATACTCTATATTGCTATGCGTATAGGTCGCTAATTCGCGTTACTAACAATCGCCAAAACAGACAAACTGACTTTCACATTTATAATATTAGTAAGAATTGTGTGTAAGCGACAGTGAACCAAAAATTTTCTGTTTATCTTTTTACCTTCATTAATTAAATTTTCTTACCTGCAAGTATTCATTTTCGCGCATAAATCCTTTTAGTGGATAAGCCCAACCTTCAGAGAGAACCTGTAAAACCAAAAAATAAATATTTTACTAAACATGTTAATTTTGACTGAATCTGAACAAATATTATAGGTGGCGGGAAATCTTAAATCATCTGTTTTTTAAATGTTATCTTTGATAGTTAGGATTTATTATTATTAGTTTATTCTCGTATCCTATGTTCTTATTATATCTAATATAGGATTTAGAATAGATTTTTTTTTTTCAAAATCTTTTATCACTATTTGAAAATCATAATTATTGTAATAATACTGTAATTTTAACTGATTATATTTTTGACTGAGAGCGGTACTATAGAGTGGATCCGCGCTAGGAGTCGACAAATAGCTCTCATTTAACACGAAATTACCGCCTTGAGTATATTTTTATGAATATGTATATTTCAGTTCTAATGCACTCACGTTTAGTATTTTTATGTACACGTAATAAACAACATAATGTTTATGACAGTTGCCATCCGACAACGAAGGTAGATAAAAATTTCAGTACATAATGCACTCTATGTCCTTGGAATAAGGAGCCAAGTTGTTATTCTGATTCATTATTGTGACGCTTCATTTGCTCAATTTGATAAAAAGCCAAATGATACAATAAACATTACGTATGTCTAATATAAAATGATTAGATTAATATAATACATAACAATATATTGCTTAAAGTTAAGATGAGATATCAATAAACCTGTATTTTATTAAAATAAATTAAAATATAGGACATTCGTGACAAAAATATTGTCTTTGCATTGGACATCGGGGGTCAAACTATTTCTGACATATTTAATCCGTACGCATTTCCAACGTTCCCTTCCTTTTTTCCTCAATCCTTTCCTCCAAACAATAGGTGGCGGAAACCACCAACAAATGCATTTCCAAAGAGGGTTGACGTCGGGCAGGCGGCCGGTCGTAAAACTATACGCTAAATCCTTTAGTAATATGGATAAAACCATATTACGTCGACCCCAAATAATAATTGGGATAAGGGTAGGAAGATGATGATGATTATTTAATCCGTTCAATAGTTTTTTTTTATTTCTTTTTATTAGATGATAAATATAAATGGTAACCCCGCCTGCGCTAACGGTATATGTTGGCGGGGCACTAATAAGAGACCACGTAAGGGTCGACATGATAGGCTAATATACCCTGACAGGCTAGCAGTGGGACTGGTAGTTCACATTACTAACAATCCCTCCCTCCCCCTCATTCAATAGTTTAGCCACATGTATGTGACATAGGAACAGAACTAGGTTTGTATTTATAATCCGTTTTTAATGCTAAATCGCTGTATGAAGAGGATAAAAAGTATCCATTCTAAAAATAAAACTTGATGCTACAAAAGATGTTAATATAATAAACCCCTTCTCAAACTAAAAGTTTTTTTTTTTATTTATTCATAAAACTTTTTTGACATATTTTACGCTTAATGAATTAATTAAATATTAATGCAGCTAATTAACATATGCATGTATGGCATCTGTTTAAATTAATATTTATAGAATAGTGCCACTACTTATGCAAAGACAAGGCCCTCTGGTGTCAAGACTTTTTTTTTGGTTTCGCTATTCATATAGACTTATAAACTTGGCTTATGGGACGACGGTTTAGGTGCCTTTCGAAACACGAAGCAAGTGTCAATCATTTTTAAATGAACAATATATTTTAAAGTAATTTTTGGATTATCTTATTACCGCTTACTATCAAGTAGGCCGTATGCTTGTTTGTTATCTCAATGGTACAAAAAACATTATCATTTTTAAATTAATCTAAAATTTAACAATTCAGATATAGACAGGGATTTAATCTTGGGCTCTTTGGACTCGCAATCAAGCATTGTCTGACTGAGCTGTCTCTAATGGTAATATTAGGCCAATATCATACTCCTATGGGGAGAGACCTTCGCTCATCAGTAAGATGTTTATAACTTTTATAATGATGAACTAACCTGAACCCATTGTAGATCTAGATCTGTGATGTCAATCGGAGGCAGTCTCGTGGCCTCTTCTTGAGCACTCGATAGCCTGTTGCCATATATGAACAGTTCCTCCACTTCTATTGTGCTGCTGTCGAAACGGGGGATTATGTCCTGCAATAATATTATAAAATATAAAGTGTTCAATATGCCAACTATTATTCAATTATGATGGAGTAGTACCTGTAGTTAAAACATCATTTATTTTACTTTGTTACAATTTTTAGCTATCTCTGGTAATAAAAGAGTTAGACGTATAATCAACAAAGTACCTATTGTCAACTTGAAAGCAATAAAGTCGTGGTGATAGATTTTGGACAAACATTGAATATAATCAACAATAAAGAATAGAGACGACACAATCCAATGGAAACGTTATATATGTATATATATACTAGCCGTTTCCCGCGGCGTTGCTCGCTTCTATGTAGTTCCCGTATATCATTCCCATTGGAATCTTTCATGAATCCGGTCTTATATCGTATTATATACTCAAATAATAATTACGTACCTAATACCTTCATAAAGTTTCAGCCAATTCAATTGATCGGTTATTTTATAGTATTTTATATGCGATTCTTTAGATTTATATAGTTTTTTTTTTTTTTATTTATGAACCGATTGAAATAAAACAAATCCTAAATGTTAAGTGACGTAAACCGCATTAGAAACCGCTTTCAAATCAGTTATGCCGTTTCAGAGATTAGTGTGCGTTAATGTACAGACAAAAATTCTAAAAATCATTGTTTTGGATTCTATTGCGTTCATAAAGTTATATAATAGTTTTTTTTTTTTTTTTTTTATCTTTACATATCTTCCATGTACAGATAGCGATAAGTTACGATTTTATTATATGTATTGAAATACACTAATTGCCTAATTTTCAAACTAAAATACCGTATATTGTGAGGCAACAACCAACTGAGGGCACAACCCATCATCCACACCGGCGGCAATTTAAAAAAAGTATGTTTTCTAAATTGTATATTATGTATAATTAGCAGCTACATTATTCTATACCTGTGATTCCAGCAGTTTAATAACTTCCATGGTGGACTGCTCGATGGTGCGACCCACTGTCTGCACCACCAGCTCCGGCGCTTCGGGACGCTCATACTCTTGAGTGATGCCTGTGAAACCCTGCAATACCATATGCATTATTGTAACATGAAGAATCCTATTACAAAAGAAATAAAACAAGAAAACGTGTGCAAATAAAACAGACGTTAGTTTACTGTTCACTCAATAAAAGAGATCTTATTTATTTATTGCTATGTACGAATAAATATCTGTGCATGACAAAGTGATTTCAATAAAACAACTCAGACTTTTGTCTCAAACCAAGTCACGACGCGACTGATTATCTAAAAACATTGTTTACCAGAGGGAGAGTTTGTACAAGTCGTTTGCTTGGGTACCTCTGTCCCATTCGTGTTTCTACCGTAAAGCTGTTGTGTTTGCATGGCTGCGTTTCGGTTTGAAGGGTGGGATGTGGCGTGAATTTACAGGGTACAGAGGAATAACACCTGATTCCTCAGGAATGGCAACGCATGAGGGGTATCATGGGCGAAACAGTATACTTTGTTATGTCCATGGCACTGCTCATATCTATAGGCGACGGTTACCACTTTCCATCAGGTGGGCCTTCAGCTTGTTTGCCATTCTAAGCTATATAAAAAAAGCTTCATATCTTAATGAAGCCGCTACATACTTTATATTAAATTATACATTTGTTTGTCAAAAATACTGACTTTTTTACATCACTCAAAATTTATTTAAAGTTTACTTTACCGCATGGTCCCGGCATAGAATAGGCTATTTCTTCCTTTACCGTGGGTGTCGTAAGAAGTGATTATGGGAACATAATGATCGAGGGATGGGCAGCAGTGTCCTTTAAACTTCACTAAATTCTAATTGCGGTTGCCAACCCGCTTGCCAAGCGTGGCAATTATTAGCAAAACCCGCCCATGGGGGGAGGCTTTTATTCTGCAATGAATGGTAAACGGCTGATATGATGATGATAAAGTTGACATCAAGCTGTTTTACAAGTGACAAATACAACTTGCTTCATTCAAGCCCATCCACAGACTTTAACAAAACAGCATTTAAATCAGACCAATACTTACCACTTTAGAAAAATGAAAATAAAACGATTATACACGAATGTAATTAAAATTTTAGGTATCTCCGCATTTATGAAACATAAACAAAAAGTTGTATTAAAATTAAAAAAAAAAAGAACCGTTTTAAAACGTTATACAGCCTTCCTGGGTTTTTTATCTATGCCGGAACACCGAATCGAATTGTTAATAATAAAATACAAATCAATGTTTTACTCTTTTTGTGACCCGGAAATATTCCATACATTTATGAACTATAAGAAAATAATGCAATTAAGTTTTCGATTGCCCTTGGCTCGTATTGATAAAGTTATAATACATTTCCTTGGATAGAGTGCCGAGTGAGAGCCGATTGTTTCAATTAATAGCTCAAGGCTTTGTAAATAATAAAACAACTAGGTGCCTTTTGTAATGACTATATTTTTCTTACATCTATAAAAATTCTATTAATACAAAAATGTAAAAGATGAATTAATGAATGGATGGATGTTTATTACTCTTTCATGCAAAAGACTGAACGTATTTAAATGAAATTTAATACACGAGTAGGTTATATTCTAATTTTGCACATAGAATACTTTTTGTACTGCTTCACGAGTGGAGTCGTGGGATACAACTTGTTATATTGTACTTTTATTATTTTATAATAATATTATTTTAAAATAATGAGAATCTATAATATAAATGTATGAATGAATGAGTATACTTTATTTGCATTATACAATATAGGAAATAAACAAGACAATTTACAAACATAACGATACAGTTGTATAAGAGCAGTAAGTTATTGCTGGAACCAATCTTTTCAAGACAACCTTAAAGTAATGGACTAATTGTTGTACAAGTTGTGTAAATTGTAAATATAGGACATGGTTAAAAATAAGTTATTAAGAAGTAACCATTTGATCAAATAAAATGTCCATTAATCAGTAATGACAACAAACCAGATCTTCACAAAATTATCAAAAATGCAGACAAATAAATACTTTATTATATAGAAAATTATAGTCATATTTTTTAATTATACCGAACATAACGTTAAAATCAATCTCTCCCAGTCAACCTTAGGTAAGTGTTAGAATGCTCGAATGCGGTGCCAGCAACAATTGATATACATACATACAAAAATTTTTACATATATAATATACGTTTTTTTTACAACACATGGGGCAAAACGAGCCAAATCCGGCGAATAGGGGGGGTGTTCGGTCACCGTAATGGAATTTTTACTCAAAAACTCACGGACCTGATGGTAAGCCCCTCTCGCGCCAATTCTGGACGAACTCGTGCCGCCCATGATCACGTAGAATTTTCCATCAACACGAGCGGCATTGTTCGTCGGTGGAAGGACGTTTAAAAACGTGGAATATCTTTTCTTGAAAGCCCTCTCTGAATCTTGTTGTTGTATCGGTTCGGAAATACTGCTGCTGCATCATCCCCATAAACTGTTTGATTCCATAGAATAGTTGTGCGGGCTCCATGCCGACGGGGTTTCGTTGGAATAAAGTGTCATGAAACACGCACGGTGGAAGACCGCCACTCGTCCAGATGATACTTAATATACGTACTTACTTAGATATCTAGTTGAAAATTAAATAACCTAAATAATCACCTTAATTTGGCCATCCCTAGCTTTTTTGTAGAGACCCTTGGTGTCCCTTTGCTCGCACACCTCCAATGGCGTGTCTATGAAGACTTCAAAAAATGGCAGATCCGAGTCTGTGTGAATACGACGCGCTACTTCACGGTCCTGTAACAAAAAAAAAAACATAAAACAGTTACTTTTTAATTTCTTTTTTTAATTTTCTTTAACGAATGAAAATGAAATGTCGACCCCTCCTACGCTACAGGTATACATTGACGGGACACTAATGAGGGATGACAGATGAGTATGAAACCAGGTCAGTTGGTCCACCATGATGAATTCAATCATTATTGACCACGATGGTTTCCTTGGAGAACCGTGTTGAAGTCGATCTGTTAGAGTATATTACTAACAATGGGACTATTAGACCCGCTTACTAACAATTCCTTTTCCCCCGTAGCCATATTTTTTTTAATGGGTGATAATAGAATGGTAACCCCACCCATGCCAACGGTATACACCGGCGGGGCCAGTGAAGGATGATAGGTGAGGATGAAGCAGGTAAGTTAGTCCATCGTGACGAATTCAACAAGAATTGTTCATGATAGTTTCCAGGGGGAACCACGTGGAGGTCGACCTAATAGGGCATATTGCTAGCATTGGGGCGGCCCTAGTAGCAATATTGGTATTCCAGCAAATCATCATAGTTCATTAACTACGATAATTTCCAGGGAGGATTAGTGACGCTTTATTAATTAATAAAGAAATAGACATGAATTTAGACCAGTCGACCAGGTATCATCCTCATTTTCATCCCTCACTAGTACCTCGTCAGTGTAAAACCAAACATATATATATATATATATATATATATATATATATATATATACATACCCAATGGTAACTTCATTGAGTTGTGTTTGGTTTTTCACAGACCCCATACTATTAACGTCTATTAAAACTATAGATAACGATGAAAAACGACTATCGACTACTTTTCCAAATATCTTTTTTTTATAACACGGGGAGCAAAAGAGCATACAGCTCACCTGATAGTAAGCGACTACCGTTACCCATAAGCACCCACAACACCAGGTGCGCTACAGGCCTTTTAAAAAAATGTTCTTATCCTGAAGGTTACGATGCAATGATAATATATGCAAGAAAGTTAAACATTATTTAATTTTCATTCTAATTTTAATACATTACGTACCTAAATGTATATATAAATTGTATATTTATAATTACAAGTGAATAACCTCACACACGAACCGATAACTGTATAAATGAGTCGCAAAACTAAATAGAATAAAAGTTATTTTTACAAAACTATATATTATGTAGGTAATTTGTGTCAACACTTTATCACCCACAAAAAAAAACTCATTTCCTTTCTAATTCAAATTTAACGAAATTTGAAATTCAATTATTTTCAGTATATTTATAAAACATTAATTAAACCACGCTTGAAGTTGCCGTTTCTTTTGCAGAGCAAAATGCAGCTACTTGTCGTATTGTGAAGTTCTAACGTAAACTATTAAAACCACAATTGGTATGCTTTTAGAAGGAATACACACGCGGAAGCACCATACTAATGACGGAGAATTAAGCCAATTAACACTCGATTCTGTAGTCTATTCAACTAACTAAACTTCTCAAGGCCTTCCGAGAGAAACATAGATATATAATAAAGAAGATACATTATATGTCACGTTTAGGAGACAATAAATAAAGTGTATTTAATCATTTCATTAACCTATCACAAAAGACATATAAATTTGTCGTTTTTCTTTAATTTATGGAGCAAAATACACGTGTTTTATTTTACCTCAGCAAAAGGCGATACAAAACTGCATAGGCACACAACGCCACTGTCTGCGAACAACTTCGCAACCTCCGCCACACGCCTGATGTTCTCCTCTCGATCTTCTTTGCTGAAGCCGAGATTCTTATTGAGGCCTGTCCGAATGTTGTCGCCGTCCAAACCGTATGCTGGTATACCTGGTAGATTAAACGACTACGTATTACATCTTGTTAAAATCAGAGGCGATTTGTTGACTATTATCAATGAAATGGGAATAGTAAAGGATCATAGACAATTGTATTGGAAAACAAAACCTTGCTATATCAGCTATATTACATATAGTCTAATCAAGATACTATTAAATTACGCACGTGTGAAACAAAATTTGGGTCACACGCGTTATTATGTATTGAGTCGTAATCGTAACAATTTTTTTAATGGATGATAATGAATTGGTAGCGAGGCCTGTGCTAACGGAATACACTGGCGGGGCACTAGTGAGGAATGATAGGTAAGAATGAAAAGGCAGGTCAGTTAGCTCATTGTAATAAATACATCTGAAAAAGGTTTCCAGGGGGAACCACGTGAAGGTGGAACTGCCAGAATATATTACTAGCAATAGGAAATTCTGATATATCATTATTACTATCAATTACTAACAATCCTTTCCCCCCATCATAACTATATTTGCCACTTAAAAGGACAAACAATGCGACAATTCACTTGAAAATAAGCATTAACCATCGCTTTCCATCATGTTTTAATTTTTTTACGTTTTAACCAATATCAAAAAAGGTAGAAGTTCATAATTCATCAAAATTTTTATTTTTGATTTATGTTCCCTATTTTTTCGAAAACGCCAGGACCGATTTGAAAAATTCTTGTTTTATATATATTCTTTATTGCACTAAAACATACAGTAACAACAATAAGTTGATAACAATGTTAGCAAAGGCGAACTTATTTCTAAAAGAGATTTCTTCCAGTCAACCTAACACAGTGACATAGGAAGTAGTGGGCGGGCAGTATCTAATAGGATGTACTGTCAGATTGGTTTCATAGAAATTTTATTAAAATCGGTTCAGTAGTTTACATTTTAAATCAAAATAACTGGATTTTTAAATAACATTTAATTTTGCTTCACAAAAACAACTGCGCGAACGCCATCTTATTCGGTGCAGTTGTTTTTGTGTGATGCTGGAACAAACAAATAGACAGAAACATGGACAAAATTTCTAAAAATATTGTTTTGGCACCTATTTGTCTTAAAAGACTCCTCATATTTTTCTTAAATAATTCCCATGTGTACACATCTAGTTCCAATTTTAATATACAAGTATTATAATAAGAAATAGGATGACATACATTGGCATTACTGTAAAATAATCATCAACAACGGTTTACTCGTTTAGCCGTGTGGTCCCGGCATAAAATAGGCTATCTCTTCCTTTCCCGTGCGTGTCATAAGAGACGACTAAGAAGGGTAAGAGATGGGCAGCAGCGTCCCTCTTAAAACATCTCTAAAGTCTAACTGCGGTTGCCAATCCGCTGCAAAGCGTGGCAACTACTGGCAAAACCTCCCTAGGGGGAGGCTTATGTTCGGCAGTGGACAGTTAAAGGCTGACATGATGAAGATGATGAATGTTTTATTCGAATATTGATCTACTAGCGACCCGCTCCTTCGCACAGGTAAATATGTAAACCTCTGTTTGTTTGTTTTTTTTTTAATAAAACAGCCTATGTTGCTCACTGATAATATATTTTTCTACAGGCGAAAGAATTTCTTATATCAGTTAGGTATTTATTGAGTTTATTCATTAAAAACAAAAAGTCAAATCTTTTCTCTTTATAATATTAGTTTAGGTATAAATGAATATTTTCGATTAACTTTAAATCGAGTATAAGTACTTATATTTTTCTTTTATTTTCTATCATTGCGAACTTTGTTTATAATACGATGAAGCTAATAATGTATATATAATAAAACCTACATAAGCCAAAGGGCACTTTTTTATGCAACTTAAAATGACAAACAAGCTGACGGCCCACCTGGCGAAAAGTGATAACCCTCACCTATAGACATGAGCAGTATCATGGGCATAACAGAGTGTACTATTTCGCTAAGGTATAACACCTTAGTTCTCAGGAATAGCAAACATTCCTGAGGACTAAAGTGTTATGCCTCTGTACCTTGTAAATTCACTACTATATCTCATCCTTCAAACTACGCACTGAGGGGAAAGGGATTGTTAGTAATGGAGATTGAGAATCCCATTGCTGGCAATATACCCAACCAGGTCGACCTCCTCGCGGTTCCCCCTGGAAACTATCATGATTAATTCCTGATGAATTTATCATGATGGGCTAACTGGCCTGTTTTCATTCTCATCTATCACTCTGCACTGGTGCTCTGCCAGCGTATCCCGTTAGCGCAGGCGGGGTTACCATACCATTTTCACCCATAAAAAAAAAACCATACTATCAATATACATATTTACTTTTAGAATTACATTACAATAACATCAAATCAATAGCTAAATATTTATTTTATTAGTCTATTGATAAAACATTAATCACATTTTGATAAGATAGTTTTAATGAAGTCAAATAACCAGGTGCAATTAGAACATTTAGCTAATGTAAGGGACATTACTCAAGAATACAATTTATCACTATCTTAACTTAAAAGTTATTTAGCTAAGTATTCAACTTCATTTCACAATTCAGTTTTTTGTGATCTATTTGTATTAAAATTTTTATAATCTTGTGCCAGTAATAATTCATTTTCTTCAGTAAAAAAAAAGCAGGAATGCTTTACCTATAATTTGCTCCGGATAATATTTTGTTGGATAAAAAATAATATTGATCCTTACTAATACATATTATAAACGTAAAAGTGTGTATTTTTTTTAATAGAACTTAGAATGGCAAACAAGCTAACGGCCCACCTGATGGAAAGTGGTAACCGTCGCCTATAGACATGAGCAGTACCATGGACATAATAGAGTATACTGTTTCGCCCATGATACCCCCATGCGTTGCCATTCCTGAGGACTCAAATGTTATTCCTCTGTACCCTGTAAATTCACGCCATATCCCATCCTTCAAACCGAAACACAGCCATGTAAACACAACTGCTTCACATCAGAAACACGAATGGGACATAGGTACCCAAGCAATAGCCTTTTGTACAAAGTCTCCCTCCGGTCTGTTTGTTTATCTGTTAATGGTTTAATCGATCGCAACATAAGTTTGGTATGCATGTACTATATGGGACGGAGAAGGGTACAGGTTACTTTTTATACCGGTTAGAGAACATATTATGGTCGTGTGGACGAAGTCGCGGGTTAAAGCTAGTAAGAATTTAGATTAGGTAAAAGACAAAATGGATGAAGAAACATACCGGAAACATACCTAAGTATTTAAAAGTAAAATAGCGTTGAAACCAGTTTCAAACACTTGAAAATTCATTTTTGAACGTGATAAGGATTTTAAATAGAAAAGAACAGAAAAAAATAAATTATACTACTAATCAAACATTACCTATCTCTAAATACAATTATTAAATGTAAAGGAATGTTTTCAATAAAAAAAAAAAATTGTGTCAAAAAATAAAAGATTTTTTTATGCAACATAGAATGGCAAACAAGAATATATGATTGAGATAACTTACAAGTACAAGAATATAATATAATAATATACATTCCATATCGTCTGGATGCAGTTTGCGATTAAAAATTCTAAAGGATAAACTTTTTTATTTTTACAATTTTATCGGATGCATCCCTTCCGATTATGACGGTAGAATTGATTGTACGTGACAAATAGGCAGTGAGTGCATGATAGTTATCTTAGATAAGATCACATTATTTCCAGCTATCTCAATCATTTAAATCCTTTAAAACTTTCCGGTCGTTACTTGTTGACAGCACATTATCAAACTGGTAGACACATCATAATAAATAATTATTTATACATTATCTTGTTTAGTACAATATAACATATATTTTAATTCTACTAATGCTACTAAGAAGTTAATATGTTTATACATATGATTGTTATTTAATTAATCAATCAGTAATAAATGCTGATCAGTGGCACACAGGTGGATCATGACCGAAATTAACATATGGGATCTTTTATATTTCAACTAATTTATTATTTATTTTCATAACTTTATTGGCCAAAATAGAATATCGTACAAAGGCAGATTTAATGCTAGTAGCATTCTCTGCCAATCAACCTTTGGGATGAACAGTGAATCACGAACGCGGTTTTTACTTACTAATGTTTTTATCTACGACTTCATCTTTATACATTGATTTCCCAAAATATAAAGTAACCTATGTCCTTCTTAGTATCAAATACAAAGTGTATACCAATTTCGTGATAGTACTCACTTTCAGTTTTATTACTAGCTTTTGCCCGTTATTTTCTACGCATGGTTTCAAAGTAGGAAAACTAATTAAGTAAAATCACTTTTAGATAGCGTATATGATGAAACATACACCGGATTTTAAATTAAAACCTCTGGAATACAACTGTGATAACTGCATTCAATTTAGTGCAGTACTTTTTTGTGATGCGGAAACAAACATACAAACGGACAGGCAAATATTCTAAAATTTATATTAATGGTTTTATTAAGATTCTTCTTATTATTTTTTCTTAAATATATCCTATGTAGAGACTACGTCTAGCTACAATTTTATTATATAAGTATTATGGTTAGACATAAGATGATGTAGATTGACATTATGGTAAGAAATGGGTGACCGCCTATCAGTCAGATTTTTACTGTTTTTTTTTTTGTCAATGGATGAAAATGGAATGGCAACCCCGCCTGCGCTGTCGGTATACACTGGCGAGGCACCAGTGAAGGATGACAGATGAGGATAAAGCAGATCAGTTTGCCCATCGTGATAACTTCATCTAAAATTAACCAGAATGGTTTCCAAGGGGAACCACGACCTGTTAGGGTATACATAGTAAGTTACATATATGTTTAGAAATAATAACATTATTGTTTTAATTTTTTAAACAGATATAACAATATCGTTTACACTTCACTACATCAGATATAAAATATAAGAATTACATTAAATATTTTAAGTGACGCAAAAGGAAATCTTATCGCTAAGAAAATTTTAAGCAATATTCAACGTTCCGTATCTATGTTTTAAAAACAGAACACTTACCATTATCATCTCATTACCTGTCACAATACAAGCATTGTAGGAAAATCGTCAAAACAACGATATGTTAAGTACATAATTTATAAGCGACTTTAAGAAGAGTAGGGTACTCAATTAGTCTAAATTTTTTGTGACCATATTACGCTCATATGTCGCCGATTCAAAACCAAACGTGACAAAGTTTAGTTCCATGTTGGTCCCGTATTTTTTATGCAACTTAGAATGGCAAAGAAGCTGACAGACCGACCGATTGAAAGCGATAACCGTTAGTCATGAACAACGCTGACAATTAAAACTGCCATTTTTCTTGACTTTTTACGAACCACAATTTATTTCTACACACGAAACTGTGTTTTAAATTCAAATACTTTCAATCTAATGCATGTGTTAACATTCATTGGTGTATTGTCACGTTTTAAGGTATAGTCAAGTTTTAAGTCTAGCTCCCTCTGGTGTTGAGTTTCTAGAGCATCTTCGTTATACACGAAGGCCTCTGGCATGGCAAAATTCAAGGATTGACCACAATCAAGTGTTGCCCAACAAAACCCTGTCGTTATTTCTAGGGAACCAAAATGCACTTGTACGAATCACTGAATGCGCATTAACACATGTATTATTTTTAAACATTAATTTTCTATAATGCTAATTCCAAATAAGGTACCTTTCGAGACCAAATAGGCTTCGAGTGCGAAGGCTATGCTGGTTTTTCCGGCGCCACTGAGACCTGTGAACCATACGGTACTGCCTCTGAACGCTCCGCTGCCTAGCGCTTTGCTCCTCTTAGCTCTGGACACTTGATGTTTCTGTTCCACTACATTTGTGGCAACTTGGGCACACTGCAACAAATAATGTCTTTAATTAATAAAGGCAAGTAGTATTAGATATGACTATATACAGAGCGGAATTGAATTGTTAGCATCCTTGAAAGTGACAGATCATTGAAACTAAACATGGGTCGATAAATAAAAAAAATTGAGTCACACTAACACGCCGTGTTCGGGTATCAAGTTAGTACTTAGTGCAGTAGTAGTGACTCAAAATTGTTTTGTAGTTTTTTTATTTTTGGTTTATGAAGTTTCTAGCTCGATATTACACCGTTTCGTTTCGATTTCGGGGTGGGGAGTTAGATTATGAAGGAATGTACCGCATTTTTCACGGGAAAATAAAGATTTCGCGCGAATGAAAGCGCGGGCAACAGCTAGCTGCTAAATACTCGTATTTTTTGTTTAAAAAACACGAATGTAAATAAAGTGTTATCAAATTATAAGGCTTGTATTCAGTTCCTATCATCATCATATAAGCCTTTATCAGTTTACCGTCTTAAAGAACGATCCTGAATCACCTGCAATCATTTGATTACGTTTACAGTTTTACGTTTATATCATGTTTCTATCATATTTAATAGTTAAAATCAAGAATGACAATGCATGAGGAGTACCATAGGCGTCTCAGTCTATTATATATAACGTATAAAAATATATATAATGCATAAATACATAGAGAACATAATAAAATAATATCAACTATACAGCTACAATTGGCATCAATAAACTTATTAGTATGAATATAGTTGTCTTCCTAGTTAGTTTTTTTTAATAACTTCAAAAACTTCGAACAGCTATTGTTTTTTTTTTTATTTTACAAAAAGTTTTGCGTCTATGGTACGATATATTCAATTGATATAACATGAAGGTCACAGATAATATACCATCACGCGATCGTAAATACTATGCACACATACACATATGTAAATAAACACATAATAATTATGTACTTTGTGCTGAACCGTTAGGTATTCGGGTGAAAATTTTATTGCCCATTTAAAAAGATAAAATATTATACGAGTGTGTAGTCTAATTTATTTATTAAAATACGAAAAATTACGTAGATATAGGTCTGCATATTTTAGTTAATTCAAATATTAGAAAAAACTCATGTAATTAGTTAAATATTTTATTTTTAGGATTCCATAACAAAAGGACAATCCTATAAGGCGGCTTAGTCTATACATTGCACCAGCGTCATTGTCATACTCGTATTAGCATTTGCCATCGATTTGAAATAGTTTTGAATGCTATTAAATAGATGTGTGTGTGTGTATATATATATTATCTGATATTTGTCTAGCTAGTGTGTTTATTTTTTCAGATTCTAAAAATTTTATAACTTTGTGTTTTAGCGTTTACGTTTAAGCAGTATTTATGTTTTTATGTATTTGTGTCGGTGTTTATATACACGTATCATTGTATATATGTATATGTATAATAATATGTAGTATATATTATATTATATTTATTAACCAATGTAACAGTTTTCGTATAAATAACAATAATAATAAAACAATTTGCATTATAAAATAATATTATATTATACATATAATATTATAAATTTTTATTTTTAGATGTATGCCTTGTTTCATAGTTTTTGTGAGTCGTATTCTTGGCAATTCCAATTTATCTTTATTTCTCGTGGCGTAACTATGATTGGCTGAATTTTTGCGAAGAGTACCTCCTTTATCACATATTTCGAGTAAAGAATTATATATGAACAACGATGACAGTCATTATACGTTGTTGGATAAAGTGAGGTCTAACTGAGGTGCGTTTATGAATTCCGCATAAAATCCTCATAAATCGCTTTTGTTGCCTTAAAATTTTTAACACGAAAGTAATAGATATTTGCATTATTACATGTGTTATATCTCCATATTTAAAAATAAAGGATTTTTGTCGTATCCCAATCAAACTGTATTATAATTACTCCTCTCCATCCAAAAGTGGAAGAGATCGCTTTTAGCGATTTCAAATTAAATCAAATGGACCATCAATGAAAAAGCCTGATTCCACCCAGTATCTAATATACTTTTTAAACCAGTATTTTTTTTGTTTGAAATAATAACAGTTGATAACGTTTTAAGTAAATATTACAGGAAAATAGAACGATGTTTTTAACTAGCACAGTTTATCATCTAAAATCTTTTATAAACATAACTATTGTAGTTAATTTTATATATTTATTTCTTTATACTTTATTGCACCAAATAGAGAAATAAATATTACGATAAATAATATAGGTAAAGTGATACAAAAGGCGGTCTTATGACTAAGCAATCTTTTTAAATTAGATAACCTTTGGTAGAGGACATTGAGAAATAGTTTAAAATAGTGTTCCACAAAAAAAAAACATATCTCAATTTTGGCAAAACCAATCTTACAGATTGGGTATATAAAGTAAAAAAAAAAAGATTTTTCAAATCAGTTTATAATCGATGGAGTTATGAGGTAATAAACAAAAAGTATAGCCGAATTGAGAAGCTCCTTCGTTTCGTAAAGGAAGGTGGCGCACTATAATATACAAATATGATATACGAGGTCTGTCCGGAAAGTTCGTATATAGGTAAGCGCAGGACCCCTTCCTTATGTCCCTAACAATGCTTCAGTTCTGGTCTGACCGCCGTGCGGTGCGAATACGCCATCTGTGAAACCTCTTAACGAAACCCCGTCGGCATAGAGCCCGCTTCCGTTGAAGAGCAGCGCGTCGTAATCAAGTTTCTCTCGAAACTCGGCAAGAATGGCCGTGAAATTTTTGCCGATCTCAGAACAGTTTATGGGGATGATGCTGTGAAGGAACCAACCGTCCACAAGTGGCTAAAAAGTTTCAGAGAGGGCCGAGAAAGCGTTCAAGATGACCCACGTTCAGGACGTCCTTCCACTTCACATTCCGACGAAAACGTGGAAAGAATTCGAACTTGTGTTAATGGGGACCGTCGTTTAACGGTCAGACAGGTGGCTGAAGAGCTTAATTTGGGCAAAACCGTGGTCCACGAAATTCTAAGAAACGAACTTCAAATGAAAAAAATTTGCGCCAAGATCGTTCCCAAGCTTTTGTCCCCGGATCAAAAATCACGAAGAGTTGCTTGCTGTGAGGACTGGTTGGAAGCCGAAGAGAATGGTGACTTTTTGAACCGAGTCATCACTGGAGATGAGTCTTGGTTCTACGAATTTGATGTCGAATTAAAATCCCAAAGCAAAGAGTGGAAGACATCCGGGGAACCACGAACAAAAAAATCAAGAAAATCCCGCTCAAATGTCAAGACAATGTTGATTGTTTTTTTCGATGTTCGGGGGATTGTCCATCAAGAATTCGTCCCTCCAGGCCAGACAGTTGATGGAAAATTCTACGTCGATGTGCTCAGACGCCTCAAAGCTCGTGTGGCACGAGTTCGTCCAGAATTGGCGCGAGAGGGGCGTTGGATTCTTCACCACGACAATGCCCCTGCCCACACCTCTCTTGTTGTCCGTGAGTTTTTGAGTAAAAATTCCATTACGGTGACCGAACACCCCCCCCCCCTATTCGCCGGATTTGGCCCCGTGTGACTTCTTCTTGTTCCCAAAAACCAAATTGGTACTTCGGGGGCGGCATTTGGGGGACATAAATGAGATAAAAAAAGCTACGACGGGGCAGCTGAGAAACCTACAACCAGAGGACTTTCAAGGAGCCTTCTCACAGTAACGGCGTTGGCACAAGTGCATTATGTCACAGGGGGAGTACTTTGAAGGGGATAAAATTGATTTACCTGAATAATTGTAAAATAAAATTTTTAAAAAACTTTTATACGTACTTTCCGGACAAACCTCGTAAACATAATAGGACACATGTAACTGGAACAAAAAGAGGAAGTCGAAGACAGAAAGAGTACCTACAGTGGTGTAAAATTTCAATTTCAATTTGTTGTTACTGCCAAATATTCATTGTAAGGGCCAATATAAACTTATTTTCTAATACATTTCTGTCAAAATTATTATAAATTTAGCTCATGACGGATCCATAGAACTTACTAATGTTAGATCATCATAAACTAAGTTTTTGAAAAATTATCGAATTAAAAATATTAGATTAAGAACAATGGCGCTTCAAAATAAAACTTAGTAGAACTTGACTACGATTTTAAAGCTAGCAAGCATTTGAGCGCACCTACTTGTTATAGAAAATGAGTTCTATAGCGAAACTGCCAGAGCAAAATATGAGTATAATCATTATCCTTCTTAACATTATGAATGTGAAAGTTTGTTACCTCTTAGCGTCCTAACGGCTTAACCCATCACTATTAAATTTAGTATACAAATTCATTACAGAATGGAGAAGGACAGAGACTTATTATACTGGTCAGTAACATATCCCGATTACACAGACCAAGTCGCAGGTAAAAGCTAGTTGAAAACAAAATGGTTGATACCTCATAATCGTAAGATCTATAACTACGCCATGATTATATGGAAGAGCGTATCTTTAAATTATCCCAAAGTGTTTTAGCTTTATTGTAGGAGTTATTTAAAATAAATATTTTAAAAATATACGTTGTAGTATAGGCAGCTACTTTTAATAATTACATACACTAATTAATATCGAATCTGGCCGACTCAAAAACTATTACCAGTGACAGAAACACTATTAACAAACGCAAGCAATTTGAGTGACAATGCTAGGCTTACCTTCTCCCACTTTAGACTGTAATCGGCAAAATCGTAAACATATTTATTTTACCAAAAAACGATAAAATTTCGATGAATAATGTTTTAACATATACATTTTTTTTTCTTAATTTTGGGTTGTAATTGCATATACCAAAGGAATTGTTAAGGTTGATACAAATATGGCCTATATGTTTGTAAATAACCTAGTAACATATTATGCAGTATAAATACGCAATCGTACAGATATTATAGAAGTTACGCCGCCAGTTATTTTACGTAAACCTGCTACTTTCTCCTAATGATTTTATAATAAAATCATTGCTTTCTCCGCATACTATTCGATACAGCTTAAAACTGTCGAT